TCAAAATAAAAAGCTTCTGCGTGGCTAAAGAAAACAGTATTAAATTAGCAAGACAACCAACTGTATGGGAAAACATATTTGCCAATGATACCTCAGACAAAGGTTTAATCTCCAAAATATACAAAGAACTTACACGACTCCACTCTAAGAAGACACCCAACCCAATTAAAAAATGGGCAAAGGACTTGAACAAACACTTCTCCAAGGAGGACATACAGAACATTCAGAGACACATGAAGAGATGCTCAATATCGTTAGCTATCAGAGAGATGCAAATTAAAACCACAATGAGATACCACTTTACACCAGTCAGGATGGCTATCATAAACAAAGCAACAAACAACAAATGCTGGAGAGGTTGTGGGGAAAAGGGGTCCTTAGTTCACTGTTGGTGGGAGTGTAGACTGGTACAACCATTATGGAAAACAGTATGGAATTTTCTCAGAAAAATAAAAATCGACCTGCCTTTTGACCCAGCAATTCCACTGCTGGGATTATATCCTAAGAATCCTAAAACATCAATATCAAAGAACCTATGCACCCCAATGTTCATAGCAGGACAATTTACAATAGCCAAGAGTTGGAAGCAACCTAGGTGCCCATCAGTAAATGAATGGATCAAAAAATTTTGGTACATATACACAATGGAATTCTATGCAGCAGAGAGAAAGAAGGAGCTACTACCTTTTGCAACAACATGGATGGAACTAGAAAGCATTATGCTGAGTGAAATAGGCCAGGAGATGAAAGAAAAATACCATATGATCTCACCTTTAACAGGAAGCTAAACAACAAAACAAACAAGCAATCAGAAAAAAAAAAACAAAGACACTGAAATAGAGACCAAGGGGATAGTGACCAGAGGGGAGAAGGAAGGGAAGTTAAGGGGAAAAAGGGGGAGGGATTTAGAGGAACAAATAGGAAGGACACAGAGACCGGAACTAAGGGGGGGTGGAAAGGGGAGGGAGGTGGGGAGCAAGGGGCGGGGGAGGCTGGGAAGGGAAAAATAGACAAAAAACTGTACTTGAAAAATAACTAAATAAAATTAATTATTAAAAAATATATATAAAAAATAAAAAATAAAAAAGAGTAAAAAAAAAAACAACAACAACAGACTGAACGTAATGACCCATTCTTTGGGTATAAAAACAAAACCCCAAACTAGGTATAGGAGCCTCCCCTTATCTGCTTGGGATACGTTTTAAGACCCCCAGTGAATGCCTGAAACTGCAGGTAGTATTGAACCCTACATGTACTGTTTTTTCCTGTACCTATATACCTATGATGAAGTTTAGTTTGCAAATTAGGCACAGCAACAGATTAACAGCAATAACTCACAGTAAAAAAGAACAGTAACAATATCCTGGTAATAAAAGTTATATAAATGTGATCTTCCATTCACATCTTCCACACACACATTTAATGCCTTTTCCATCCTAACTAAGCACTTATGTGCTGTGGCCATAACTTTTTCGATTTGAAGTGTGACAGCAAAAGTTGCACAAATTTATTTTTTCTTCACAATTTCACGGAGAGATCTATTTTCACTGTAGAGCTAAGCTACCTTGGCATACAATTTTTTCTTTTCCTTATTAAGTCACAAACTTTCACCTTCTCACTTAGAGGAAGCATTTTACAGCTCCTCTGTGGCATATCTGAATCACCAGCATCACCCGTGGCTCTTGTGATGCAGGGCATTTTTAACTAAAATAAGGGTGACTTGAACACAAGCACCATGATACCCTAATGGCTGGTCTCGTCGCCACGACAGATGACACCGAGTGACTGATTGATGGCCAGGGAGTGTCTACAGAACGCTGGGCCAAGGGATGGTTCACGTGTGATGGACACGATTTCATCACACTACTCAGAATGGCCTGTCATTGAAAACTTACGACTTATGAATAGTTTATTTCTGAAATTTTTCATTTAATATTTTCAGGCCACAGTTGATAACTGAAACAACAGAGAAAAACTGTGGATAAGGGGTACTACTGTATATATATTTATATATAAATAGAAAAAGATATAAAGTGTCAAAACCAAACTGTTAGCAATAGATTCTTCTGTGGTTCAGGAATTTTAGCTGGTAAGGACAGCCTGTCTTTTTATTTTATACTCTCCTGACATGCTTGAATATTTTACTGTAAGTATAGTTTTGTAAATTAAAAAACCCTGCTTCTCAAAGTAGGATATCATAGAGCAGCCCCTCTCTCAGTACTCAAACATGACAAATATCTGACAAAGATGCTGTAATAACTGGGCTTCTACAGATTGAGAAAGATGTCATTAATCTAAAAAAAAAAAAAGTGAAAACAAGACTACAATGTTTGAAACCAGGATCTGAAAAAAAAAGTGGTAATTTCTAAACCTATGGAAAACCAGACAGCATCGTAAACCAGAGGATGGTAAACATGGGCCTGGAGATTTTGGGTCTGAGAAATTCTGTCTGACCTTGGTTTTTCATAAGGGCTGCTGCCTAGGCTCACAGAGCCTTAACTGGATTCATTCCCAACCTCCTCTGTGTTGCTCTGAGGCCATCTTTCTGAAGCTCAAACCTAAGGTGGCCACCATCCTCTGGCTGAGTTGACACGGAGGTCACTGGCGGCCCCATTAACCTCTTCAAAGGTCTCCTGTTACTCTAAAGTCTAAAATTCAAACAAGGCCAGCCCTACCCTTCCTGGTGTAAGCCCTTCCATTTTGTACCAGTCTGTCACATCTGGGCTTTGGACTCCCTTTCACCAATTCATTCCTTTTCCACTTTTGGGAATCATAACCTTCCTCAATCTGACTAACACCCCTATTACTGACCTTCAGAGGACTCTGTATGTGGTTTATAGGCATTTGTCTTTCCCCACCAAATGATAAGCTCTCAAAACCAGGAAGCAGTTTAGTCCCACCTAGTACCTGGCAGAGTCAGCCTCCAGTAAGTATCAAAAATGAGTAATCTAGTATCAAGCCTTGTGTATTGTACATTAGGGACTAGTAGCCTTTCTGAGCTATTTTCTGTTCAGCTGTGTGATCCTCTGAGGTCAAAGATATTTTATTCCCTGAGGGATAAATGTACTTAACAGGACAGTGCTTGTTAGTGAGGTATTTAGAGGTCCAGGCTGCAAAGACCCAGAGGACCTCCTGGAACATCACAATGAAGTGGGAAGGTGAAAGAGGGTATCAGTCACATGCAGTACTTACTGTTTTTACTGTTGATACCACCTTGCTTAAACCCATCTTCTTTCAAAAAGATGGGGTGATGCAGTGATCACCTCACATTAGGGAACTAAAGCCGTACTCCTTCACAAAGGACATATGGATAATAACAAGAGGTGGGTGGAGAAAAAGGAAGGAGGCAGGGAGGGCTGGGGTGGCAGGGAGAAAAGGCAGCAAACTGTACTTGAACAATAAAAATTTTTTAAAAAAATCAACTTGAGAAAAACAAAACAAACGAACAAAAAGTATACTCCTGCTCCTGATAATGAGCACAAAGCATAAAGACCTCACTAGGTGAAACCAATAAAAAATTTTTCATAGAAAGGCCCATTCCTACAAAGGCACATCAAATAATTATGCTGGAGAGTGCCCAGCTTTGTCATTTCCCAGCTTCAAAGCTTGAAATGATGTGTATCCCCAAAGCAGTAAGATCTCATTGGCCTGAACACCCCACCCCCAATGTTGATCATGTTGCCTGATTATGAGGAAAACCACCTGGAGGAACTTGAAAGGCCTCTTTCTTTCACAATTAATGCAGATCATCAAAGGTGGTCTCTGACTGCTCACCAGCAGAAAAAATCCCCAAGAGCTATGATTGAGTCATATCCAATTTTTTTTGTACGGCTATTGATGGCAGGCAAAGAACTTGTGTGACATAAGGCTTTACAAACAGCTTCCGCTGTCAGTTAAGCCGGAGCCCATTTACAGATGCCACTTTTAACAGAAAAGATACTAGTAAAGCGAACAGTGTCCATAATTATCACTTTGGTAACAAAATAAAGCAAAATACAGCAAAAGAGACAAATTGTAGGAAGGCCTGCTACTAAACCCAACACCCCTTTGAATGCCAGGGAACTTAGGTTCTGTAGGAAGCTAACTAATAAGTTTTGCTGAAAAAAAAAATCCAAAACTTGCGTGAGGGAACCTGGAATGTCATTACAAACTACAGGATAAACCAAGACATATATTAGATCACTCACTAATGGGTTAAATTTTTCATCTAGTACGACTAGTTAGGAGTATGACTAACTCCACATTCATCTCTATCTCCAAGAGTTATTCTCCTAGACTATTTTTGTCTTAATTTTCACAGCACAGGTTCTGGTGAGCGCAATTATACTTGTGAAGTAGCTTGAGCCATATTGTTTGTGAACTTTTTCATTAAAATAGAAGGCTGTCCTCCCCATTTTGAGTAAGAAAATATTTCTTTATTTTGATTGGAAAATATAGAATACTGATTGCCATACAGATAATTCCTCCTCCTTAAAAATGTCTTTCACTGAGGATTCTTCTGATTGTCAGAGGTGTGCTAACCGTTTTGAATTTATTCTTCCCAAATCTGAGCTGTGGCCTTTTAAAGATGAGGAAACTGAAACTTAAAAACAAGTTAAGGAACTTGCCTACAACCACAGGTAGGAAGTTATGCTGCTCTTTGTTTTTGAAGGCTTTTCTTATTACCAGGGTTCTATGAACTACCATGCGGCTAAACTTTCCTGGGCATACGAATTAGCTGGGGATCTTGTAAAACGCACATTCTAACTTCATAGGTTCAGGGTGGGACTCAAGATCCTGCATTTCTAAGAGGTTCTGCAGTGATAATGAGGCAGCTGGCCGATGGACCACTTTGAGTAGCTGGGTCCCACGCTGCTGCAAGGGTATATAATTCCTTCTCTGTGAAAGGAATGGTGTATCTATCTCATCCAGCTGGAGCCAGACACTCTCACTTGACTACCTGACATTGATACATCTGAGACAACACAGAGACAAGAAAGGTATCAATCCAGAAGCAGTAGTGGTTATGGAATGCATACATTTCCATGTATTTTTACATTAAAAATGCATTAAAAAATCTTTCACAAAAGAAACTTAAAAAATACAAGTAGGGTGTTGAGTTCCCCGCCCCCATTCTTCCAGGCATTAACTGTGTAATGGGTGAGAGGAAGATTTCTAAATGGTTTGATTTCATCATACAAAATACTCATCCATCATCTCATCAAGACATTTACATGAAATGGGGGATCAGGGAAAGTAGGCTCATAAGAATCAGTCTCCAATTTAAGGTTACAGTAGTTCAGAGAAAACTGTATCTTTTTACTTAGTGCATAGTCCTGGTACAGTACAGTTATTTCCAAAGCAAATCTGTGTGGAATTCAGAGGAAACTGCCACACCAAAAGTGTTCAGATTGAGATAGGTGCAGGTGGGTAGCACACAGATTTTAAAATGTCAAATGTCATCTTTGAGGACAAGAAAGACATCAAAATATTTTCAGGATGAACTCCCCAAATCTACTTCGATTTCATTTATTTAAGACTCTGAACCATAACTGAGAGCATCGATCATTTAACAACAAAGATTTTGTTAGAAACAGTGAGAAAATTCCTAGCAATAGAACCTTAGGAATAAAGTCCCCAAATTGGCTCTTTGGAAATGGATGAAAAAGAACATCATTATTCAGTTGTATTCTTTCTCAGCCTTACTGCTACAGCTCAATGTATGCTTTCTATGGAAAACTTTGAAAAAATAGCAGTCACAGACTTTTCCCTCTTTTTTAGATATAGAATGTTCCTTGTGTCTGTTCCAGGAAATGAACTTGTTTTGTGAATGTCCACACAACTACGGCTACTCATTCCAATGTTATGTATAAATCCGTAAGTCAAATAAAGCTATGAACAATGTAATATTTATATATGCATAGTGTTTTATAAAAAGATTGGCCCGCATACTGCTTTTCATCAATACAGAAACAGCATTAAATCCATAGCACATTGCAAGAAATGAGTGAAGAACAGAATGCAAACAAGTGCTTAATAATTCACAAGCAGGCTCACCATGGAGGAAATGATGATATTCAAACTGACTAAAGCTTTAGAGAATTACTTATACAGTCTTCCACTTTAAAACAGCTTTACATACCTGATTTAGTTTACATTAAAATATACCCCAATTAATTATTTTTCCATATTCAGAAATATGAACACATCACATTCCTCACACCTAAATTTTTTGTCATAAATTCTTTTATACAAGGAAAAAAAGGCAACTTTTTTTTTTAAAACAGGCTCTATTAATTACAATTTTTAACTCTGTACACACAATGATTGGCTGGTTTTCTTCATTTTTTTCCCTTTTTTTAAAAAAAAAAACAAACAAACAGTACCATGAGAACAACAGTGATTGACTCACAAAGTTTTGTGTCTGTATGGAAAATGCAACACAGTACTACAGAAATATACAATGTATTGTAAGCAGCGGTTTGCTATAGTGGTCCAACAAGTACAAGCAAACATTTTGGCTCAGCTAGGCAGTAATCCATTTCAACCACTTCCCGGGGCTACAGCCAACCCAACTACATCTTATGTGGGATTGCAAAAAGAATAGGTCTTTTCTAAAAAGGAAAATCATTGTTTTATTCTGCTGTCCCAAAATTCAAAGGACAGGGTCATGAAGACATAAGTTTGCCAACTAGATCTACGACCATTGAGATCACGTCCTTTCTCCTTCATTCATTCTGGAGACAGTTACAGATTCAAAGGGAAATCAGCATTTCTAAGAATAAGCACCTCCAGCTCTAAAATTCAACAAAGACCTAACTCCACCAAGGCACATTCCCTTCTCCCCAATTTGGCAAAGGGCAGCCATGGCCTTATGCTAAAAAGGGGGGACATAACCTTCCATATTGTGGACTTTTATGGCTCCTTCACACTGGGCACATTGTCCCTCACTCCACCTACTCCTAAGCCTCAAATCAGACATGACAACACACAAGGTGCTTGTTGTCCATTCCTTCCAGTAGTTGACTGAAGCTGTGACAGCACTGCCTTAATGAGATCTTAGATGTTGGTAGTGCTAATGAACCTGACCATGTGCACTTGGATAATGGTGGCCAATGTTCTCCTCTCCATGCCTTTCTATGGCGAGGGGGAATCCGAACTGTTTTCTGAACCAACTGTGACTCAAGAACAACGTTTCCGTGTGTGCTGTGTAGGTTTGGTATAAATATCCTTCATTTTTGATAGTAGTCTCTTCATACAGTTTGCTTGGTTTTAGGATCATTGGCAATCCTAACCCATCTCAGAGTTCTCAGCTTTTACAAATATAGCTTTGCCTTTCTATTTAAAAGGAAATCTCCTAACTACAGTATAGCACTACATCATTACATAACAGTCTATATCAAATTAATTAAACTTAATAACGTCCCTTGCTTAGAGAAAATGATCAACAGCCCTATTTAACCAGGAGAGAAAGAGATTGCCCAAAAAAGGGAACAATTCTTAACAATTCTACAGTTTATGTAGAAACAAAATTTACATCCCTTTGGGGCAGCATTTGGCAAATAATTTCCAAAAATGTATGCATTTAAAAATACGTTCTTTAATATTATACATCAGGCACAACACTTTTCATATATATTTTTTATAAGATTTGAAATGCATAAAATGTTTGTTGCTATTCATAGGATCACCAGGTGTCAGATGCTTCATTAGGTAAGAAACTAAAGTATTTCAGGTTTGTGACCTTCCTCATAGAACCTTTGACATGGTAAAGGTCGGAATGTGACTCAGAGCTCAGATACTGAGGTCGGTGCTGCATTCTTTGTAAGGCCTCCTTCTCTGCTCTGGGGGATGTCTGCAACTTCTGCTGGCATCCTGCTTCAGGCTCGCCTCTTCTCTTTCTCGGTGGCTGACTTTGTCCTCTCTGTTCCTTTTCTCAAGGGACCGCTCTCGCCTCCGCTCGGGGGACCTCGCTCTCCTGCGGTCAGTGGATTTCGCTCTCCTTTCAGGCGAGCCCCCCCTCCTTCGCTCTGGAGATCTTCTCTGATCCAGGAGCCGTTCCAGAGACCTCCTGCGGCGGCTGGGCGAGCTGTCCCTTCTGCGGGTGGGCGACCGATCTCGCCTCCGCTCGGGAGAAATCTCTCTCCTCTTGTCGTGCTTCTCCCTCCTCTCCAATGTGTTGTCAGCGCTCCGGGTGCCTTCCCTCCGCTTCTCCAGGGACCTCCTCACGGGGCCATTGGTCACCAGCCGCTCAGGTGGGGTTTCTCTTCGCCCCTCGGGCGCCCGGTTTTTGGGTCGACAAGCCCCGCTGTCGAGTGTTCTGGAAGTTCCGTTCCATGTGTGATGCTCGTTGGGTTGTCTGCCGTACTCTCGGCTGCCTTTTGAATCTTTCCCGTGTGCCCGCTTTTCCCCATGTGGTGATGATTTGTGAAGATCGGGTAGATAACTGGACTCCAACGGCGGGTGCGGCCGGCGGCCGGCCGGCCCGGGCCTCATTTCCGGGACGCCCTGTGCCAGCCCGGGCCTCATTTCCGGGACACCCTGTGCCGGCCCGGGCCTCATTTCCGGGACACCCTGTGCACCGGTGGAGGCGCCGTTCCGGTCGCTGCCGGGGTCTGCAGGAAAGGAAATGAGAGCGACATTTGGGTGAGAGGAACCTTGGGCTCTTGTCCCCACTTCCACGCTTGAGCTCTCATTAGTGACAGCAAACACACAACTGTTAAAAGCAGTCAGAATCAAAGCCAGCTGAGTCCCGGTTAAGTATAACTGCAACTAGTTTGGTTAAAAACTAGTGTGCACAGCTTTTAGGGTCTAGACTACTGTTCTCTCTACTCAACACATAGATGATTAAAGGAACTTAGAACTTCAAGGCATGCCCTTATCAATAGTCTGTCTGTCTAGAGGTATTCAAACGCTCCCACTTTACCCCTTGCTCTTCCCCCACCCACCAACCCTTCTCCCTTACCCACCCCTCCCCTGTCCCCCCCCCCCCCCGAAAGAAAATATTTCCTTTAAAGAATACTTTAAAAAAATTGCTTAAAAATTATCTGGGCATGAGGGAACTCTCTGGGGGAATGTTAATAGCCTATGTTTTGATCTGGGTGGTATTTAAATGGGCGCACACAGGTGAAAACTCACTGCACTGTATAGTTAGGCTTTAGGCATTTTAATATATGCACAGTATATGTCTATTTTTAAATATTTTTATTTAGAAAATAACAATACAGGGTGGTGGTTGGCTCTATGGAGCCACCACCACCAGATGTGGACAACTGGCAAAGGTGACATTAAGTGAGGGTCCATTAAACATTTTCTCTGCCCTTGTGCATGTTTATTCAGCTATTTAGTTTTGTGTGAGTTTAAGAAATTTTTTAAAATATGGAGTCTTCTGACAGATAAAAGAGTGGAAGGGAGACTGTGAGGGACACAGCTGACATCAGATAGAGTTCAGATAAAGTCTTTAGTTTAGAGGCACTTTTCTTTATACTCAGCCATAATTCCACCCATGAGCCACGGAGCTGCTGGACTGCTTACAACATCAAGATATCTACAGATTTAAAAGCAGGGCAACACTCATGGGCTTTTGTTTACTATTAAACTATTTAAAATAACAGTGCACATGTAGCCAGCAACCTGAATTTATGAGAGCTCTTTCAAAGCATGGCTGCTTTGTTACCACTAAACCCAACAGGTCCTACACACTACTATACCATGTTAGGCAAGGCACCAGGGATGCTGTGCTGCAGCACGGTGGGCAAACCAGGGGGACAGTCACAGAGACAGAGTGGATGCTTTGTAAGGACCTTTCCTGAAGCAACAAGGTCAATAATAAGCAATCTGTTTCAAGAATGACTTCCCAAACCCTTGGGTAGGTGTTAACAAAAGCAGGAATATAGCCTGGAGCACAGGCTGGCACACTTTTTCTGTAAAGGGCCAAAGAATAGATATTTTTGGCTTTGCAGGCCATATAGTTTGTTACAACTACTCAACTCTGGCACTGTAGTGTAAAAGCAGCCTTAACACATAAAATGTGTTGTGTCACTCAAATTTACTTGCAAAAACATGCTGTGCATGTTTTGGCCCACGGGCTGCCCTTCGCCAAGAGATAACTGATCAAGCAGGAAATCTCATCTTCTTGCCTAGCAAGGCCCTATATACCTGTATACCTAGGTGAGTGCTCTGTGATATAATGTTTGTTCTTTTACATGCTGGGTAGGCTATTAAAATAGAAGTCATTTTAAGATCTGGGTGAGGGGAGGTGCTTAAATCATTATCATAAATCTAACCTTGGGATTTCTTACACCTAACTTTTAAGATAAGGGACAACAAGACTTCAACAGGGTCAGCGGTGTACTTACAATTCAAAGAACGCAGGGTGCTCAGAATGAATTGCCAAACATATCAAAATAGAGCTAAGCAGAAGCAATGAGGAAATTAGGCCACAGCACAGAAACACCTAGTATTGATTGAGCTACAAACCGTAGTTTTATTATGGCCCATAAGGTAGAAGCAAGCCTCCCCGAGCTTTTCATTTCTCATACATGCAGCGATATTAGGAGGTATCATCGCTGTAGAAGGGAGGGGCCAGCACCAAGAACAGTCAGAGAGAAAGAGAGAAAGAGAAAGAGAAAAAGTTGAACATTTAGATTCCCTATAACAAAGAGGAAAGAAAAAAATCTGCATTTGTTAACATAGGGCAAAGAGAGTTTATTTGTCCAGTCAGACAGTCTAAGGCAACACTCAAATAAGGCTGCAGAGACCGCAATCAGAGAACAGTGACGTTTTTAGACAGCCATATAAGGTGACTCGAGGACCCAGACAATAGATGCATCCTTTTTTCTTTTTTTTTTTCAAACAACTGGAACAATGACAGGCTGGCATAGGAAAGCATTAACAATAAACAACAAAAGAACAAAGTCCCTCCCACCCCCCTTAAGACTGCGGCAGTTAAATTAAGTACAAAAAACTCATTACAAAAATAGCCTCACAGAGAAGCAGGTTCCAATCAAGTCAGAAAAATATTGGAACTTAACATATTATAACCCATTTGTGACTCTAATCAATAGAATTAGAGAGATTTAGTCCAAATGACACATGGAGACATTACAGCAGCACAATCCTAACATGTTCAACCCTTCTTGGAAAACCAAGTATTTAAATTATCTTTATTTCTGGCCCAAAGAACATCTGTTAGTGTTGGATTTTCATCCTCAGTGCAACAGACATTGGTTTTGAGAGGGTACACAGGTTACTGACGTTGACTCTCAAATGGAATATCACATCCAACAGAAGCATAGGGAAGACAGAAAAGGAAACAATGTTACACAGTTTCAGTGGCATCAATATACCTATCAATGGTTCAGTACGCACAGCTGTAACATCTCAGTGTTGTCAGACTACCTTCCCCGTGTGTGGCTGGCCATATCTGAGGGGGCCTGATCTGATACCTACCCATCCCCACCTTGGGCCCCTCATACTTTGCACCTGTATTATGGATGTCCAACACCTGGGAAGAGTATCCTTCAAAGGACTTATCTTGTCCTTGAACTGCATCTGAATCAAGGATCTCAACAAGTCCAAAATGCAACTGGGAATTGTGCAGAATGACTTTCAGAAAAGACGGTGGTAACAGATACAATCCCTAATAAAGGGGACTGATGTACATGGGGACCATTCAATCACAGTTTCTATAGAAACTTTTGTAGACCTTTGGTTGGGAAGAAAAGCCCTACATCTAGGGCATAGCTTTTTTTCTTTTTTAAATTTTTAAACAAGAATCTCAAATAAACAGGACATAATTATTATAATATATAATATTTTGCCATCAGGGCACTAAGCTATGTAAAGATCATTGCTGTTTAGTCAAATCATGTCTATAGATATGACAAAGGAAATCTATGTATAATCTGGCTTTCCCCACAGGAAAGGTATAGTCATGTGTTTCCCTCATGATGAGCACTGGGAATCTATTTCACCCTTTATCATTTAACATCATATGGCTAACATATCAACAGTTTTGTCTGTTTTCTAGTAGTGGACTCAGGTGGTTTGGATTGGGGCAGGGACCAGAGGGGGGATGCAGAAGTGTTGTATACAGAGCATAAAAGGAGATGAGCAAGGCCCCAAATAATCTCAAAGTTTCACGTCTCATAAATAAGACATCAAGTTACCACAAAAGAAAAAAAAAAGAATTGTGCCTCAACATATCACTCAGGAAACCTGCTTTCCTGCTTCTTAAAAGGAGTATAGTCATTTTGTGCTAACAATTGGATCTGAGAAACAGTTTGGCACAGTTCAAACAATCATTCCTTCGCTCTTGGTCGGACTAGACAAAATGTTCTCTCTGATTATCAGAAAGGGGGCTATAGAGATCTTGTCTTAGGCCATGCCCCAGTCCATGTAAGCAAGCAAAAGGATGAAATGTGTAGAGATTTCAGAACAAGCGAGGCAAATAATCACATGGTGCAAAAGGCTGGTAAGACACTGGTGAATAGGGGAAACAAAAAGACTTTCCTGCTGCAGTTCTGGAGACAGATTCATGGAGTCATGCCAGGGAAGGAAGGAATGTTTTCATAGTTTGACCCACCATATTCTGGTACTGAGCCATCTCCCCGCTTCAGAGACAGACGCACTCTGCGGCCACCATTCTTAATCAGTTCTATAGCCCGAGAATGCTTCATGTTTTTGGTGGTTTCACCATTGATCTCTAAAATTTCATCACCAATCTGCTCAAAATAAGAGAGAACAAAGTGAGAACATCACAAAAGAGTTTTACTAGCTACTGAGGTGTTTTATTATTTAAAATTCTGTCACTTATGGATTTCCTAAATATTTTATTGAATGTACGCTAGAAAATCTATGGCTTAGGATGCAGTGGTGAAAAAATTCCTGCCCTGATGGAGATGACATTCTAATGGGGGAAATACAAGTAACAAGAACATTGGAAAATTACATCTATGTTAGATAGTATTAAGCACTAAGGAAAAAACGAATAAAACAGTAAAGGGAATATTAGTTGTTGAAGAAAGGAGGATGTGGTAAGCAGCTTCTGGATAGCCCCCAACGATCCATCCCCACCTCCTTGTATTCACGTCCTATGTAATTTTCTTCCCTTGGAATGTGGTTTGAAATTGGTGACTTGCTTCTAACAAACAGAAGATGGCAAAGATGATGAGAGGTCAGTTCAAAGATAAAGTTACAGAATGATTCTGGCCTCTGTCTTGTTGCCCTCTTTTGTTCTCTCACTTGTTCACTCTGGTGCGTGCTGCCCTGTGGAGTCCATGCTAAGGATGTACGGGAGGCCCAGGCTAGCTGCCTGACAGGCACTGCATCCTGCCGACAGCCCTGTGAATGAACTTGAAAGCAAGTCCTTCCCCAGCAGAATCTTCAGATGAGATGGCAATCTGGCTGATATATTAACTGTAGCATTTACTATGTGTTAGCCTCTATTCCGGGCACTGGACACAGAGGAGTAAACAAAAGCAGGCCAGAATCTTGCTGTCATGAAACTTATATTCTAGAAGGCTTTGGACTTTAAAGTCCTGAATTTGAGCCTATCATTTGTTAGCTAAGTGACCTTGCCTACGTCCTTTTAATTTCTCAGAGTTCACTTCCTCTCCTATAGAAAGAGATGATATCACATGCTTACCAAGCTGAGGATTTAAAATTGGATAATACAGGTAAACATGTCTTGTGATCTATACGGCATTATACAAGATATCATGATCATAGTATTTCATTCAATCAGAAATTCTTTTAAGTGAGTAAAAACATGAAAAAGCATATCCCATGTGTTTGAAGTTTAAACAAAAGAAATATATACCAGTATACAAGGTCCAGCACAAGTAACGCCTTTTTTTTAAAAAGATTTTATTTATTCATATTTAGAGGGGAAGGGAAGGAGAGAGGGAGAGAAATATCAATGTATGGTTGCTTCTCCTGAGTCCCCTTGCTGGGAACTGGCCTGCAACCCAGGCATGTGTCCTGACTGGGAATCAAACCGTGATTCTTTGGTTCGCAGGCCTGCGCTCAATCCACTGAGCTATACCAGCCAGGGCCAAATAATGCCTTTTTTATGACAAAATTGTAAGCATATAATTCTGTAACTTAACAATATCACACTGAAGCACATCATATGACATTTTAGGTGAAATGCTCAAATTAAAACTATAAATCATTACACCCATCTTCTTACCTTACCAACCACACTCACCCAGGTGTTACCTCTGCCAGACCCTGTACATTGACCTGCACAGGCACCAATGGTGCATGTATGTGCATGAAGAAACTGATGCACAGTTTGATCCAGGAAACTGTATTTTTATTATGTAACACTTTTCACTGTTTAATTGTTTAAAGCCACCTGTGTGGTCTACTTCTCTGATGGAAAAGAATACTCATGAAAAAATTCAATCTGAAGAAACTTAAAATTCAAGACTGTGTCTTAAGTATGAGCATTAAGTTCCCTAGCCTTGATCACTTTTTTCCTCTTTCTGCCCAGGCCCAGTTTCATTCACTTTTTCCTCTTCCTGATCTGACTCCTGATTTTTTAAAAATTTGCTCCAATTGCTTCCTACGCGTGTGTCTCAATCTATACGACATATCTATAGCAAGCACATGATTTTTCTTTTTTTAGTCATCTAATCTGCCAAGGAGGGCAACACATTCATATGCAATAACATATATTAGATATCTAAACAGAACAGAGTGGATTTTTGTATTTAAATTTTGTAGCTTTGACTACTACCGAGTGACTCTGGATATTCATGCAATGGGGTGACTGTCCCTTTGCTGAGGCAGAGTCAAATGCTCCTGAAGCTACTGTAAGATGGCTGGTGACTAGCTAGCGACCAAATGGAGCTCACCACCCAAAACCCACAGAACTACAGAGCGTCCCTGCCCTCTAGGCACCCTGGTACACCCAGGAATCCCCGTGAAGTGACTGGTCTGCCTCATGAGATTAAGTATAACAAGTACGAAATGATATTCAGAAAATATCTCTTTTAATAATTTTGTCAGTAATTTTAATCCTTCTTCCAACCCCCAAAAGTTGAAAGGGTTCACCGAACTTTGGTAGCTCCATCTAACTATGCTTCAGGGAGAGATTTACACTAGGGTGGGAGTCATGCATTTAGACTTCCCGGAAAGCTGTAAAAAAATGTAATTCTCACGAAGAAGTTTCTAGCCACATAATGTCAAAAACTCACTACAGATGATGTATTTACATTAACTCCGATTCCCCCCCACTCCAACTTACCCTCATCTTGCCACACCTTTCTGCAGGACCATCCTCTGCTAAGCGCAGAACATAGAGGTCCATGTTATATTCGCGGCCCCCTCGAAGACTAAAGCCAAATCCCTTGGCTCCTCTTTCCAGTTCCACAGTGTAAAACTCCTGCTCCTGTTTAAAAAAATTAAATGTAATCATTCTGGGAGATCCACACATATTTTTCTCCATCTCTTCCCAAACATTCTCTATTATGATGATCTGACCAAAAGCCATAATCACTATCTCCCTCTTGGTGATCCTCACTTGTTTATTAATATTCATTAACCTTAAAAGTTCGGAGATCCAGAATTTGAAAACATTCATGAGTGTGCCTGTAGACTGCATGTGAACATGCATATATTAAAATTTAAATCAGTGAGGCTGCAATTCTCCATATACTGCAGGAAAATTCATGACATGACACCTTGCAAACTGCAGGATGTTCAGCCTCCCTGTCCAATGACCGAAAAACGCCAGTAGTGCTCATTATTAGGATACCTAAACGCTTGGAAGGCCAGTAAAAAAAGGAACCTGCTTAACTTTGCATCATACAATATTTCCCAAATTGGCTTCACCTGCTCTTTATTATTTATTATTTGTACACCATCAGCACTGTAAGGGACAGTTGTTTGCTCTATGGGTTCCACCTGAAATTCACAGGACTGAGACACACCGGAAGAAAAAGACATCTCGGCATAAATGCAGTTAGGAATACCATGAGCAGGTATCAGCTGTTTTGCTCTTCCATTGGTCACCAATTACAGCCTTTTTTTGTACCCCCCCCCCCCAGAAAAGGATATCTAGAAATATTTTTCAAAGGTAGTCAAATAAAATGTCATTTCCTAGACAATCAAATGTGAGTCTATATTTAGTGCATTGCCTCACAAAAGGTTATTTATTTTCATTGAGGTACCTTGTAAAAGACATCTCATAAAAATAGCTTCAGAAAGCTGGAAGGAAACATACGAAGCAAACAGAAAAAAGAGAAACGGCCCTCACCTGTGTTGCCTGGGGTGCTTTGAACTCAAACTGAGATTCTGGCTTTGGTTTGGTGGTATTCCTGCCAAAGTGAAAGAAATATATAAAAGCAACCCATGGGGAAACTGAGAGAGAATGAACGATGAGTGTCATCACGCCAGCAGTTCCCTTTTCCCCCTTTAAACCAACAAAAGAAACCGCAGCCATGTCTGACCTGGTCTCCTGGGCCCCTGGCTGGGAAGGGGTGTGTGTGGTGGTGATGGTGGCAATCTTCTCTGCATTGGTTAGCAAAGTGGCATTCGAAGACTCTGTAGGAAGAGACAGAGCACAGTGAAATGTGGGCCCCAGAGAAGACACTGTCACACTAGGAGGTACCCACCAGCTCCGAGTCTGAACGACAAATTGGGCTTTTCTGTCACCATTTCAAGCAGTTCTGGCTTGAATTTGTAAATAATTAAGACTTTAAAGTACCATTTTAAGATATTCTATGATGTGAGCCATGTAAACCCCATTCTCCTTCTTCCGATCAGACATCCCAACAAGGGAAACAGTTTGCCCGAGAAAATGCTCCCCTAGAACTGCAGCCAAGGCAGGTGTCTACCACTCCTCCCCCACCGGTTACACACGGCAGTCCCATCGAAACACTGCACTGCACCAAAATTACTTCCTAGAATTTCACAGGCTGGTAATAAATATCTTCCCAAACATTTCCTGCAATTTATTAGCAATATTTAATGAATCTTTAATTTCCCCACGTGAATATCAAATTTAGAAATGTGCAGTGTCTGGTTAAAAACACACCGTCTACTTTCTTCCCCATTGCTCTCAATGAAGTACAGTAGAAAACGTGGAGTTCTTGACAGATCTCGTCTGGTATCACTCATGAGAAATTAATTTTAAAACCTGCACTTGTTAGAGCTAGAGCTTGTAAATATAAGTTGTATAAATTATGAAGCCACCCTAACATAATTAGATATGATTATATTCCTATGTAAATTGACTTTCTTCTCCACTAACCACATTTATATGCAACTTCATTAATCTCTAGAAGTGTGGAGACCCAGATGTTGGAAACATCCATGTACATGTCTGTACACTGCACACCAATGCACAGATTAAAATGTAATCATTCATATAGTAATAATTACATATTCTTTTAAGAATAATTTCTCATTATGATCAAGGCCGACAGCAAGCAACTATGAGCAGGTTGCACATATTTTTAGGTTGACTGTTGGAACATGGCATAAGTTTTCTATTCAAGAAAACGCTAAATAAATATGGTGGTTAGATTCTAAGATTAGCCCACAAATGCCTGTTTAATTCACAGTGTGTCCGGAAGTCTAGAAGTTTCTAGAAGTCCTATGGCTTACAGGAGGCACTCTAATGTTTATCAAACACATATATCACGCATGATGTATAACAAAACTTCTGTGGGGAAATGTTAAGTATTCCCACCTGGGATACCTGAACTCCATTTCTTTTCACTGTAGTCCTATGTGAAAAGACACCCCTCAAATCCCAATCACTTGTGGTCTATCTTCCATTATGTGTTCACTTTCCTTACACACAGCTGGTAAAAGCATGGGCTTGAGATTGAAACCCAGGTTCAAATCCTCCTTTCCTCACTTATCAGCTGAGTGACTCATTTTTCTCATCTGATAGAAGGGGGCACCAACATTAGTTCCTGTCCCTTGGAAATGTATGGAATGTTTAGTACAGTACCTGTTGTACAGTAAGCACTGAATACTTATTTCCTAAGGGCTGGCCCTTGCCACTGCTTCTGCTTTTCATTTACTACTGTGGAACTTGTATAAATTATTTTAATTCTCTGCACAATGAGAAAGTTGAAATATGATTTTAACGGTCTGTATTCCAGCCATAAAGCCCACGATTGCTACAACTAAGGTACACGTTAATAAGAAAATGTAACTAGATCAAGTGAACTGAGATGTGTATCCTGCTCCTGCATTAGGACAATGTTTCTCACAACCTGTTTTGCCAAATGTTTCTGCAGATTCTAAAGGAAAAGGAACCTGTGTTCAATTAAGGGTGATGGATCATAGGTAACAAATGTCCCTGCACTTCTGTTTTCTTTCCCACGGACGCCTTCAAATCTTTAATCACGTCACTATGCCTTGCAACCCTCTGAGTTGGGGAGGTGAGGCTTCTCAAGTTTACTGGGAGGCAGTTTAGCATAACAGTAAGTAGTAGGTCAGATGCTGAAGTCAAGACTATTTGGCTTTGCATTCCAAGCTCTGGAATGACCGGCTGGGACCTTAGCAAAGTTAAACTTTTATGCCTCAGTCTCCTCTACTGCACATGTGGAAGAACAGATACATGTTAGAGAATTGGTGCAAAGATGATCTGAAAGAAAAGTGTGTGTGATAATGCCTAGAACATAAAAACTGCCCCCAAAATGCTTCGCAATTTTTACTGGTAGCATGTGCTTATTACCATTATCATAATGCTAAAAGCATATTTTCATGATTGCAGTTAACTGGTACAATCAAGGTGATAAATTTAAGATATTTCATAAAGTATGCTCACTGTGCGTGTACAAAGGACTAAGACTGCACGGCCTCTCATTACGATTCACCAGGCATTTCATAAACACTTGTACTGGACCTTTTAAAAAACTTGGTATCGCTCATTGTGATTAAACTTATGGAGACTCTGGGAAATCACAAGGTGGTCCAAGTGGGCCACAGGGAAAACATAATCAGGATACCAAAAAGGATGTTCTCTTGTAATTACAATGATTGTAACTACTAAGTTGAGTAAAGATTTCCCTTCAGAGTGCTTGTATGTTTTGGAAGCCAGAGTTCTCCAGACAGATCACATCTCAAACAATTTTTCTATTTCTGCTGTTTTCATGATTGCTGAGATATAAAAGATAACTACTCAATATGCATTTTACCAGAACTATTTTATTAATTTTCCATCTATAATTCATTTGCTATTTTTCACCAATTTGTATGCAAATCTGTTTTGGTTGAAGCTAAATTTTAAGCATTTAAAAAATTAACACTTAATATGCAGCCCTGGCCAGTGTGACTCAGGTGGCTGGGTGTCTTCTCATGAACCGAAAGATGCCTGGTTCAATTCCCCATCAAGGCATGTGCCTAAGTTGTAGGTTTGGTCTCTGGTTGGGGCACATGCAAGAGGCAATTGATCAATGTTTCTCTCTCACACCAATGATTTTCTCCCTCCCTTACCCTCTTTCTAGAATCTATAAAAGAAACAAAAATCAATATGTAAATGCCTATTTGAGTTTCTTGAATTTCCTTGTAATTTCTCTTAATCTATGAACAACCACCATTTCCTAATAATTTACACTGTGCCAAGAACTGTGCCAGGTGCTGTATCACATGCATTATTTCATTATTTATTTTAATTCTCACAGCTCAATGAAACAAGTGTAATTAGCACCCCCATTTTATAGATAGAGACACTGAGGCTTAGAAAAGGCAGGCAATATGTCCAAGGTCTGGCAACTTTTAAGTTTTCATTTAGAATGAACCAAGACTTTAAGTGCTGAAATTCCCTCTAGTGTTTTAAAATAGAGAAATGAAATCCACTACCATGAACTCATAGCTCTATTCCAAAGTACAATTTATTGCCTATAATAGAAAAAATATAAAAGAAGAACCTGATATGAGAGTAGGCTCCAGCAGCAGTACTATGAAGGGGTGTCAATGTATTTGACTTTTAAAATTCCAAGGTAGATGGCCAGATTGGCTGTTTTTATGACAAATGACAGAAAGTGCCCTACATCCTTTATTACACAGTGTTTACACTTACATTAGGTCCCTCAGAGGAATGAAAATGGGTATTACTATACTTTGCATAGCAACTGTGCACCAGGAAAAGCATGAGCGAGCTCTCCAGGTGCTGTCACAGTGCTGTGCTGAATCAGGGGACTGACTTCTGACAACAGTGTCTATCTGGGGTTTGAACATATCTCCGCAACAAGAGATTACAGTTCTAACCTTGTTTCCATGGTAATAGCCTTAGCCTCCCATACAGAATCCATATTACAAAGCCAAGCAAATCAAGAAAGGATACAATCATTCCTTTCATAAATATTCTAATGCACAAACAAATATGTACTAAACATCAGAAGGAAGCCTTTGGGAGACGTTTTAACTGTGTGTGGTTGGAACCCTGTCCTCTTTGCCTGAGTCTGTGCTAGCACCATGTCCACCGAGTCTTCTATTAAGATAGTTACACTATTCTGTGCCTTCATCAAGGAAATAGCAATACCTGTGCTGCCAAGCCCTGCCTCTTGTTTGAATCAGAGTGAGAAGCACTACAAATTTATGACCATAATTTAAGTAATATGTTTTTAAGCTCATAAATATACTCATCATCTTGAACTTGACTCAGTCTGATAGTCCCATGTTAGCCTGGCTCACTCAGGGTCTACCTTATCTAATTAAAGTCTCATTTCCATCCAGACTTCAGAGATCTTCTCTATACAACACAAGTGGTAGGAAGCATGTGTGGTCCAATTTGTTGGATTTCAAGTTCCAGTTCAGTATAGTCATGGGCTGGCTTTAGCTCAGCAGGTACTTCCATTCAAGCTTCGCTTAGTAACAGTGTAGTCAGCTCTTCTCTGGGCCTTTCTGTGATGCCATTATGTACTTCCTATCCCGTACCCTTATCTCATAGGAGAAAAAGATCTGTCCTATTCCACCTTCACCCTGGTCCCAGATATAGTAAAAGCAGAGATGGTGAGGCCTCCCCTGGTCTAGGCCTGTCCAACATCTGAATGTCACAAGCTTTTGTTGGAGGGGGCTGGCAGAGAGAGGAGCGTGGAGAGAGCAAGATGGAAAATAAAGAAGTGAGGAAAACTACAGACCCAGGTAAGTGAAGTTGGAAAAAAATGAGGTGAACGATAATAAGAAAAAAGAATTAGGCAGCATGAGTAAGATAAAGAAGTGGATTTGGCGGGGGTTCCAAGCACTGGCCAACCAAGAGTGCATCTTCCTGAAATGCCTCCTAGGATTTCTGAGAACAGTTCTCTGGACAAGATGGATTTCTAAGAGCTTTAGAAATCATTCTAACTGAGAAATTCAGTCTCCTCATGAGAATCACAAAACGAACTGTTTTGGGGCTACCTGATGAATAAAACATTAGAGTGAAAGACCTGATGGAGACCAGAGAACACCTCCCTTTCCCCTACACTCCATCATGTCTAAACTGCTTTCACAGGGAGGAAGTGGAACCACCACGCATTTCCCTTCAGTAAAGTGCAAAACCCTCCTGGGTGGCTCCAGCCTCTGCCCAGAAATCTAACTTCCCTGCCTCAATGCTAATTTCCAAGAAAGCAATTACAAAGGTGAGTATCACAAGCCCACCTCTGCCAGACTTGACTGACTTCTGGCCTCCAAAACTTACACAATAACTGATGGAGAGTTTTATTACTGTGGCAACAAATTCCTTAGTGTCTTGGATGAAATCATGAAATTGCATCCTTGGCTGTGCATCAGTCTTTATCTATATTGTATCAACTCCAATGTTTACTTCTTCTAAACAAGACTCTCTGTAGATATTTCTATCTGAAGTTTACATTTTTGAAGTATTCAAGTTTAAAAAATGTCTTTTCATTGATAACTATTATTGGATAGTTCACCTTGAATTATATTTTTTGCTGTTCAGGTTTTCCTAAAGTATTTTCCACTGCACTTTTTAAAAATCAAGTCAACGCTTAGTACGTGCACAGCAGTATAAGTTGCTTCTGTATATTTCTGTTTTTCCTGACTTCAAACTTTTTTGCCAAGCCCTTTCCTCAAGGAAGTGCTTTCTTGCCTTTGGACACTGTCATTTCTACATTAAGGCTGACCAATATAGATTCAGCAAGTCAATTCCTGTCCAACTGTGTCCAGTTCTTTTGGACTAGTTTTTTAAAATCTCTCCATGTGTCTAAATTTATATATTACATTTGTCTATCTCAATCATTTCTTATTTAATTTTTCTGGTTTTCCTCATCCTTTCCATAGGAACTTATGCTCTATCATCTTGTGATCACTTTCCTAAATTATAACAGCTTTCCAGGGTGGTGAACTGGTGGAATGGACTCCAGAACAGGTGGTCCTTTACTAACCATGCATTTGAGGTAGTCTGGAAAAGACCATCATTCAAGGAGCTAATTTTTTCCCCTCAACGTTTGGAATGGGGTATTTTTGTGTAAAGAAAATTCTTTCTTCTTGGAACCAACAATTTTCAGTATTATTGTTTGATTTTGGATTTACTTTTTCTGCATAGTCTATACTACCCAAATGTTAAATTATAAAGCTCACTTTCTAATAATCCACATATAAGAACATTCATCTGGTGAATTATGTTTAGATAAATATCTCTAATTTTTAAAGTTTTACACATCAGTGGCATAACATTTCTATCACACTAGCTCTACAAAACCACACTTCTTGAGATATACTGACTTTTAGAATGTATATTTTATTTTATCACGTGCATACCAAAAATGAAAAAAAAAAAAAAGATCTTAAATATTTCGGGACAGGTAATCAGTTTCCTTCCAATGGCCAAACCTACTTAAAATGAGGTCAATATTCAGGGCTTAATTCTCTGAAAAATCTATACTTAGTGACATTACTGTATCAACTTCATTTTCATTAAATATGAATAATGCAGTGAATATTGATATCTTTGGTTGGATAACTTTTGTGGGGGTATCTGTCCAGTGTACTGTAGGATGTTCAGAAGCATCCCTGGGTCTACCCATTATATGCCATAAGCACTCACTCCAGACAATGCCAAATATACCAGGGAGCGGAGGTGGGGGTGGGGTGGGGAGAACATCACCACTGCTGGAAGAGAACCAAAGATCTGACTTTAACCAACTAACCAAACAAGAACAGGCCAGTTTAATGTAGAGATAATCTGTAAGTAAATAAAAATACAGAGATGTAATTCCTACGTCATTCATATGCAAAAATTAGAAACAAATCAAGGCTAAACAAAACCCTAAGACTCTAAATTAAATAAAAAATTAGATACATTCACTTATTCTGAAAAAAACAAAACAAAACAAAACAAAAAAATCCCCACTGCTGGCTTTGCACTGTCATTATGTAGACTTTGTGATGTCACCATAGTATACAGTTAAATTTTAGTAATTATTTAAAGAAAAATCCTTAGTGATTTCCAGATGGAACATCAGGAGGACTCTACCACCTGTATTCAAACTATTACATTCTTTTAAAGCCAAGGGCACCAAACCCAAAATCAACTGGGGAAAGTTGCAGACTCTGAAATGTTCATATCTGCAGCAAGACAGGTATTAAGGGCTAGAGGATGAAGTAAAGAGGGTGAGGTAAGGTTTGGTAACAATGGCTCACATTTGTTTGATGTGTGTGCTCCCTTAGAGATGGACAAGGCTGCCTTAAATCAATACTATTCAGTTACACAAACACTAATGATAAAGAGATCGTGAGACAGAGATATAGGAAAAAGAGACACAATAGGTATACTTTACCATCCCCAGGAATGATGCGGAGGGTAACTGTGTTTCCTGCTTCTTTGATTAGGTTGACAATGTCTGAATGGGACTTGTTGGTGATGGAACATCCATTTACCGCCAAGATCCGGTCTCCTACTTTCAGCTTGCCACATCGGTCAGCAGGGCTCCCCTCAATAATCCGACCTATTTTGTGAGGCATAGCCACACATGCATTGCCTGCTTTGATATTGAGTTTTAATTTTTTTAAGTTATGTGGGAATATAGTACAGGGAGGAGAAAAAGGGTTGAAAAAGAGAAGGTTAAGTTGTTAATTAATTAAAGCATTAAGCAAATGTTATTAAAGGAGAGCTCTGCGTTGATGGTCAAAACATTGGCAACACTCAAGGAAGGCATCCATGTAGAAAGCTACTGCCCTGACCTGTGGTTCTTCCCTGACTCCAGGGGAAAACTCCAGTGCTCCTACTTAAATCAGTTATAAAATTTGGTATACTTAGCAACTTCAAAGATTCTGAACAGTCCCAAGATAACTTGCCATTGGCTTATTTTGGGACTTCAAATGTGAAACCCAGAGCTGGGACGGATGCTGTATGCACTCTGTGTTTGTGTCACTTCACTGTTGCCAGCTGTTGTTTAAGCGTTTGCCAATGTTTTGTTCCTTCTCCATTTAGAAAAATAATCACTGGGAGTCTGGTGAGGCATGAGAGTCTGCTAGCAACAGAAATTCCATCTGAAAACACCTACTGGACAAACACTTAAACTTCCTGCCTTCTAGCCAGGATGAAGAAAGCTTTAGAAAACTCGAGAAGAGCCAAGAAAGCCGAAGCTTGACACCTAGTTTTGCTTTTATGACCCTTGATCAACCAGCCTACCTTGTGTGCTTTCAGGGTAGGGCCCAGATCATCCTCTACCCTCCCGAAAATCTCAAAGAAATATGAAAATCTAGTTCCTACTCAAACTGAAGACAGTGTTCCAAAGCTAGGTTCAATTATTCCTGAGTACTTTTCCTTTAATCATTTCCTTTCACATTGTCAGTTACTACCCACCTATAATACTAAAAACCAGGGAGAGTGCATTTGAAGAGGCAGGTATTATCGTGCACTTTGAGGGATCCCATGTCTCAACCAAGAGCATTGTTAACTTCTAAGAGAGGTGGAAAATTGGCTTTGAAGAATGACGCAGAGTTTTCAGCTAACTATATTAGTTTCAAAGTTTCTCACACATATTTACCTATTTGGGAAATTTGTCTTTCTGGGGACTGTGAAGACAGTTATGCAGTTGAGCCACCTTTTGGAAAGGGTAACAAAAGTAACATGGGAGACACTGAAACTGAGTGGGCTCTTCCAGCACAATTTGGACCTTGAGGATAAAATGTATGGGAAAATAAGCTGTAATTCATTTGAATTTCAGTGTATTTGCCTGAGTTTTTATTATTAGATGTAACATTATGGCAAAAGAATTATTTTAAAAGGAAGTTAGACTTTTTTTTCTGAATCCAACAAGCAGGTGTGGTGGAAAGTTTCATACTCAAAATCAAGGTCTTAAGTTTAGCCCATCTCCAAGGACAACCCAAAGGAGAAGGGTTTCAAATAGCAGGTATGCAGAAAGCTCTGCATAGCTTGACGCAGAAGTCTCGTGCACTATTAGGGACAGTTTAATTCATTCACTGTAAGAACCAGAGGAAAACAATCAAAAACCGATGGTGAGTGAACACATTCAATATTCATTAAATAACACATAGCCTCCCACCTCCTGACATACCTGCTACTTCCTTCCTTCTAAAAACTGAAACTGAGAATTCTGAAATCCTAAGAACATTAAAGGGTGCATGGGGTCACTAAAAAATGTGGGTCTGAAGTTTCACTTGGGAGTTCTCACACCCCCTGCCTTTCCTTTTATTTTTAAATTAAGCAGAAGAGTCTCCAAAATTATTTTAAAAACAAAAGATCCTTGCTTTGATGCCATGTCACCTATCCATGGATTATTAAAGTAGCTCACAAAAGCAATGTTAGTAGTGGGTATTCGTTACTGCAGCCACACATGCAAGGACCTGCTGACTCACTGTCTCCTTGTGGATAAGCCTTAGGGAAAAGAGCGTTAGCAGGAAGCAACAGACAGAGGCAAGGGTGTTTTACAGAAGCAGAAAGCTAAAGGGATGGAACTTGTAGCTGAACTCAGCCAGCAAGTGCCCTGGGCCACTGGTCCTCAGACTCCTGGGTAGGTAAGTCACTTGGGGATAGAGCTGAGGTACATTTCAAAGCCTGCACAACCCTTCCCGCCTCCCATTATATCAGCAAATATGCTTGGGGAATAACAGATGACTTTTTAGCCAATGAAGAATGCGGATCATTCTTAGAGTACATATTTATAATCCATTCAATCAGAAACAGATTCACAGATAAGTAGTTCTTGGAATCATCTGCTTTCCTCCTTGTGTCTGCTGGTGCACGCAGCAGAGTTAACCTTTGGAGAGGGTGACAACTGTGTTTCTCTATACTCTGCTGAAATCCCTAACACATGGACGAGACGGGGAAATCGCCCCTGTTAGAATTCAAGGGCAATGAAGACAAATGGCTCTCAGATTTCAATTAGACTCCTAATAAGGTGACAGTAAAAATATTATTTAAAATTAAAGTTAAAAATTTCAGATGGGGATAGAGTAGGGAAAGGACACAGTAGAAAGGGCATTTCATATAATACTGTTATTCCTTACACCTCTGATTTTTCCTAAGGGTATATTTTATAGCCATGTGCTTCTTTTAAAAACTCTCAGACTTTCTAATGCTACTGCTATCAATGATAGCTCACCCAGGGCCTTGCAAAAGGTTTTCCCTGGCAAGAATTTCTCACTCTCTATACTGTCAAGGGGTTGTTCTGCAAGTTTCATGCAGATTACACGTATGCTTTAGGTTGCTGCGTGTGTGTTTACAGGCGTTCAGAGTGGATGCTAAATGGTTACCAAAAAACTCTTTCGACCTCTAGGAGGGAAAAAGCTACCAAGTAAACTGCACCCCCAATTAATACTTTAATTACCTGAAGCAAAAAGCAGGGAAGCATTTCTGTTAATGATATTGGGGAAGAACTGCAGCACTCACCGAAGGTTGTGCCTGCCTCAGGCCGGCTCACCGAGGACACTATGACGAAGCCAAAGCCCTCGCTGTCCCCGCGCCGGATCTCCACGTCGTAGGGCTGCAGCGCACTCACCACACCGCTGCCCCCTCCCCCGCCACTGCCGATGCCGCTGGTGCTGCCGCTGCCTGAGCTCACCGTGTTCAGGGAGTTCTGGCTGCCCTGTGGGGTGCGCTTGTCCTCGGTCAGGGAGGTGGGCTGTGTGCTGCTGTGGTGGGAAGAGGCTGGCGAGGGCACCTCCGTCTCTGCTTTGGGGGCTGTGCAAACATGATACGTACCTCTCAGTAACCTGGCCGGGCCCAACGCATGCCCGCCAACCTTCCTCCTCCTGTCCCAACTGTATACGGCCAAGAGGTCAGGAGGTTCACACGGCCTCAAAGAACACTGAAGAATTTCAAATAGCTTCTTGGGAAAAGTATTTACTGACATTGACCCACGGAAAAATGCCAAAAAGGACAGCTGAATCATTTCTCATCTACAGCACACGAATGGGTCAATATCCACACCTGGACTCCAACTGCAACACTCTGAAGTGTCTCCCCGGCGCAAATCAGGGGCAACCCAGAGGAAGCGCAGGTGTGGCCCACACCAAGGATGACCCCCATCCTTGCCTCAGAGAAGTGCCCAGGGTGGCATATTAATATTGCCATTAGCCAGAAGTCTCAGCCTACTCAGCTTTCCAAACAGTTTCTGCTTTTGAGTTTTCCATCAGGCAAGAGATTGTAAACTGACAGTACGTTGAGGTTGCCATCCTGTGGGAAATCTGACAACACCTGTCAGGGGTACACTTCCTGGTTTCTGGGTGTCAATTATCTGCTCTGATCACACAGTGGATCCATCAGCCTCCCTCAGCACCCCTGTTTTATAAAGAACCAGCTGCATTGCTCTGTCAGGTGACAGGGTCAAACACTCCTAAACTGCCACATAGCTGGTGGTACCAATTTATGTTTGATGCCAAAACCAAAATGTGTTGTGCACAGCTTTTGGATAAGACTTCATTTATTCAAGAAATCTTGCCCTTTCCTAGATTCCTTCTTCATTGTAGTAAAATAGAAACATAAAATGTATCCTTTTAACTATTTTTAAGTGCACAATTCAGTGGCATTAAGCAGTCACGCTGTTGTGCAACCGCCACCATTCTCATCTCCAGAACTCGGTCACCACCTTCCAAAGCTGAAACTCTGTACCCATTAGAGGTCAAGTAACTCCCTCCCTCTCCCATAGCTTCTGGCAAACACCTTCCTACTTTCTGACTCTATAAATCTGATTGCCCTAGGTACCACAAGAAAGTCGAATTATGTAACATTTGTATTTTTGTGACTAGTTTGTCTCTTCATAGATTTAATATCTTTGACTCAGAGCTAAACACCCAAAATATTTAAGATTTTAAAAATAACTGGAATTGACAAAAATCACATTGCTCTACAATTTTTACTTAGGCCAGTGATGTTAAAACGTTTTCATCACATCTTAAAAGCTACCTGTGACTGACTGCTACTGGTGACATGGAATACTATTTGCAGAAAGATTCTGAGGCCATAAGTGAGTGCTAGGGATCTAACTGATTAACACTGTTTCCCATAGCTGCAGTAGGCAGGACTCTCCCACTAGAACCTGACGTCTTCATCCTGTAATGCATTATATACCATTTACATGACTTATAGTAGTTTTTTTTTTTGACAGGGTGCCAGTTGATTTTATCTGATAAGTATTTGTTTGACTAATATTAAATCTACAGCCCTGGCTGGCGTAGCTCAGTGCATTGAGTGTGGGCCTGCGAACCAGAGGGTTGCAGTTTGATTCCCAGTCAGGGTACATGCCTGGGTTGCAGGCCAGTTCCCAGCAGGGGACACCAGAGAGGCAACCATACATTGATATTTCTCTCCCTCGCTCCTTCCCTTTTCCTCGAGAGATAAATAAATAAAATCTTTAAAAAATACAGAGAATTCATACTATTTCATATCACACTTCCTCAGTAACTCAACCAATACAACACGGCTTCTACAGCCTCCTGGGTTCTGTCTTGGACATTTGGAGGTGGGGGCTGCAGACAAAGATTAACCACCAACAGTGTGCTTTCAGGAAGCTGGTGAGTGGCAAGGACTGACACACGGTCTTTAACTGGCTGATTCTGATACAGGAGTAAACTCTGATTCACAAGAATGGCAAGAAGGGAATGCTAAAATCTGGAGGCATTTGGAGGAAGGAGGGACTATCTGAGGGTGTCACAGAGAAGGTTATATTTGAGTTGGGCCTGAAAGGATATGTAGTATTTTGAGAACTAAAGTACTTTGAAGCTTGTAGGAGGAATGAATTAAGTATGACCTAGAAAGGGGCAGCTTTATACCTTTCTTACAGAGGAGAAAAAAATCTTGCATCAATAAATATTACTGTCAACAATAGAGTAACATTTTTATGAGCGTATTTTGTGGCACAAACCTAATTTTTATTCTCTTAATTTGAAGTTACAATGCTCCTGCCTGTCACAGTGACCTCTTTTGTTGAAAGTTATCATCAGCTGAAGAGGACAGCGAGGTTCTAGCTGGCAAGGTGTTGGGGGAAGTAATACAGTTCCAACTAACCTTCTGGAAGTCTTTGCTGAACAGGTACAGATGGCACATTGAAATACTTTTGAATGACGGTAGTTTGGCAGAGTTTGAGAGAAACAAACCATCTGGAAATCCTGAACTTAGTCATATTTGCAAACATTTGCTAAAACAGATGCTTGAGGAGGCAGATGCAGAAAGTGCATGAAGTGACAATGCTCCGTCTGAAAGAATGAGTGAGAAACATACCGGAAAATACCACTTTACGCCGCACTGTGAGGTTGACATGGCCTTGCTTGGCGGCTTGTTGCATAAGCTGGACCACAAGCTGGTGTGATTTTCCAATTACTGGTGTCCCATCCACACAGATTAATTCATCCCCTGACCTGAGGCGGCCATCTGTATCAGCAGCACCCAGTGGTACGATGTGACCAATATAAATCTGTTGAGTAATTGGAGGATAGATTAAATGTTGACCTTTTGGTTTGCTATTGTACTGACAGCCTTCACATCTCTGAGAACATTTTAATCCACTCATTCATTCATGTCTGCATCCACGCCAGAAACATCCACTGAGTGTCTACTGCACACTAGGCACTGTGCTAGTACTAGGACAGTTTTTACAAGGTGGGAAAACAACTTTTCTTTATTTGGTTCCTTGGCACTTATCTGTGGTAACAATTCTCTTTTTCTCCTTTGCAGAAATAAATCACTTTTGTTTGCAAAATTCCTGTTCCTTTTCTATCTACCTGAGGACCCTCCTTCCAGAAAACTCAGCTAATTATAATACTGCTTTCTTTAAAATCAAGCATTGTGCGTTGCAATAGCAGATGCACCATAAATACTGTTAAATAAAGAAATGAATCAAGTAAAGTCTGGTCTGACACTCCCATTTCTGTACTCCCAGCACCTGCATCCAAGAGGTCTTTATGTCGTGCCTTGCTGTTGCATTTACCATCAACTAAACTTTAGTTGGAATATTTGTGCTTTCCTTGCCTTCTCGCTAGGTCATAATGCTACAGCTACCTTTGCATGACCTGTATCGTTTACAAAGAAATTTTGACAAAAACACTGGCTAAAAATACGGACTCTGGAATCAGACCCTTTCCAATCCTTCCATTTACTAACTCTATAATCTTGGGGAAGTTAATTAATCTTTTTGTGCACCCATTTGCTGATTTGAAACAGGTGGATAAATTCATGGATTTGAAGGATGATCGAATGTATGTTAAAAGCCTTTGGCATATAGCATCTGGCACACAATAAATGCTCAATAAATAATATTTTTACTATGATGAGGAAATTGATACTTTTCTTTAGTTATCTTTTCTCCTTTCAAAACAATTCTGTGATATAATTCTAAATTCATTCTAAAGACGAGGCCCAGAGAGGTTAAATGTCTCCTGACTCTTGTTGAGGATTCTTTCTCTTCTTTTGTAAAGAGGGGTGGGGTCCTGCTTTCCCCGAGTCTCTGCTGATGCCTTGTGAAGTGCTCTCCCTGCTGGTGCTACTCAATACACAAAGGCAGCGGCAAATATAACAGAATTGGCCAAAGGATCAGGCCATTATTTTCTTAATAGATACCAATTCCTACTTTGCTTTTTGGTTTCATTTTCTTTGATGGGCACTTCAGATGGATTAGCTCCCAATTTTCACATATGTGAACATAAGCTTTTTTAGAAAGGATCTAGTGAAACTGAGGGTCCGTATGTCTTTGATTAAATTTAGCTTTAAATCCTAGCTCTAGAAATCATCTCTCTGTGTGTCTTAACTCCCCAGAGACCTAGTCTTTCCCCCAGGTAGTCCGCGAACCCCAGGCAGCAGGAGACAGGAGCCCAGACCTGACTAATGGTCACAGGGTCTGGACCTCTGGCCCCATAAAGATAACATCTCAACCTAAGCTATGTTTCAGCTCCTGAGACCTAAGTAGAACGATGCCCTGGGTATTTTCCCGCGAGACTAGACAGAGGGATGCTGGAACAGACTTCAGAGCTGTGCTCAAGACCTAAAGAAATGATTTACTACAGTTACCCCACCTTCCACCAATCAGCTCCCAGAATGACCCTGAACCCCTAAACCATGGGGTCTTGTGATTTTTCCCTATATAACCTGTATCTTACATGCCATCAGGGAGTTTGGCCTTTTGAATATTAGCTTCCTGTTCTCCTCACTGGTGCCATTCATGATAAAATAGCTGGTCTTTCTCTATTGCAGTTCTCAGTGTCTCGTGTTTGGCTCTGCTAGCACCAGGTAGACGAACTCTCTAAGACTAGTCTCTTCCCTCAGGACAAAAACATCTCTAGAAAATCTAAGGAAAAACCTCCACTGCCTGAGATGAAGCAATGTTACATTTAGAGGGACTCCAATCATGGTGATTTGTTACTGATGCCAATTTGCTTTGAAGTCTTAGAAAAGAACACTGGGAAAGGGAGGAGGGGGACACGAAAGACTCACAGGTTCCCCTGGCTCATTTCCACCAAGAATCCTAAATCCAAACCCAGTCTCTTTTCTCCAGAGGAAGATATCCTGTTCTTGGTAATCTGGACCTAGAGAGGGCATTAAAAAAAAAAAAAAAGAGATTACTTCTCTGATCAAAGCAATCATACTGCTAAGGTTACATACACAGTTACAGGACCAACACTGACGGTGCTGAGCAGATGACAGTTTTCTAACACAGACAAGGCAACAACAGAATCTGCATGTGAAGTAATGGAGGGTGCTGGGTGACAGTGAACAATGGGAATAGTCATGGAGCCCTAAGTTTTTTCAAAAGACTAATCAACTGTTCGATAATTCCCAATCAAGACCAAGTCATGATCCCTGACTAGGCCAGAAATCAGCATTGACTGCTCTCCTCGGGGCTGCTGCAAGGGGACTTAATTAAGATCATCATGTGCAGCACTGCACCGTGGAGGCCCGTGTCCAAGAGAGAGATGCCCAGTCTAGCGACCTCTGAAGCAGGAGCTGGCTTAGTGCATTTAGGAGGCCCGTTAAGTCGCCTGATGTTATAGCAACTAGAAAACAGACAAAAAGCTTGCAGTAAAGTGCATTCCCTTAAAAAAAAAAAAAGAATTATTTCTTTCTCCTTTGAGGTAGTCGAGACCAGGAATGCCAGTAGTTTGATTTGTTAGATCATCTTTGCCAAAAAAAGGTTAGTCTTAAACATCCTAAAATTTCCAAATTTGCAAAGTTTACTACAGTTTCAGTACTATTACCAAAAAGTAGCCAGAATTCCATAACCTAAGATTTATGGTGACAACAAAATTGTTCTGCATCAATGAACCATACTTCATTGTAAAAATGACTGACTGCTTTACTCCTGAACTTGCTGTAGTGTTTCAACATTCAATGTATTAGTTTATTATCAAATAACTTGATATTTCACTTTTAAAACTTAACAGTTCAGGGTTTAAAAAAATTTTTTAATCTCAAATTTTTTAATCACTTTTTTAATTTTTAAATTTTTTTAAAAAATAAAAGCAATTTTCATAAAAACATGCTGCTGCACATGAAATTGTTCTATATACCACTGTTACTTAACTAAGGTAATAGAGTTATTTCTATTTAATTCTCATTTAACATTTTAATATATAGTGTTTTATGGTCTGTGAAGTGACACATCTTTTATTTAAAGAGAAAAAATATAGTTTAGTGGCAGTGAATCTCAAAGCATTTGAAATACTGTTCTGCACACTTTCTGGTTTATTTAAGTAATTGGATTCTGGGATGAAGCAGTGGATAGGCCTGAGAATTTGGCTCTCAACACCTCCAACTCTGTACGACAGAACAGGGGAGAAGGCAGTGGTGTTTATATTTTAAGCTAGCGAGAGATGTCCCTCTTCAGTGACTTGTTCACAAGCTTAAATGGATAGGGACTGAATGTGCCGAGAAAGAAGCAGCTAAATACACAGGTAAACGCACATCAGAGAGGTTCGAATCTGGAATTTTGCTTGAGCTATCTTAATGCCATGGATTTCAACAGTGCTTTTTATCCAGTGCTTTTTTATTGTAATTGCTGAGGCTAAGCTGTAAGACACCATGGGACATGGAGTTAAGCTACATTATGGCACTCCCATAAACATGATTTGAGAATGATATTTTCTTGAGCATATGAAGGTAGCAACATTTTCTTTCTGTCTCAGTAGCTGGCTAAAGGGTATTTACTATAATGGACTCACTGAAGCTACAAATTAAATCAAGTTAGGTCTCCATCTTTGTTTCACTCAAGTGGAGGATTATTACCAAAACAGGCCACGGGGCTTCCCAGGCAGCACCAGGGGCTGGGTAGAGTTGGCCTGAGTCTGTGGGGCCTTTCTGTGAACAAGAAAAGGGACTCTGCAGAGACTGCAGCCCATCCATACCCATTTTTTCTCAGCATCATTTAACCCAGGAATACTCGTCCTACAACTGATATAGGGTGCAGCCAAGAGGGGGCCCCCAAAAGGAATCTGGAATGGGGTCCAGAACTCAAGGTGTCTGGGAAATATTGAAGAGAAATATAAGATGTCCTTACCCCTTCCTCCACAGGTGTGAATTGGGGGAAGGGACACATGGAGCAGGAACATGCAGGACTGTTTTGTACAGCCACAGCCTTGCATCTAATCCATAGCATGGTCATTTAACATATCTATAGCCTCTGGGGGGTCAGTTAGATATGTTAAATGGCTGTGGCCAGGCTTGAAGCCAGGGGGATGGAAGTCACTGTCCCAAAGATGTAACTGGGGGTAGGGTCCCCCGAGTTACAGGAGTTATAGCACCTGCGTGGGAGCTTGGAGAAGACTGGCTCCAGGACATGGGGCCATACCTGCCCAGACTCACAATGGCAGCCCAGTAAATTTGGAATAATACGGGAATGCTGGCAGGTGTAACTGACTGTGGGAGGATTTGGAAATGGGGGTACAGAGGAAGATTGGCACAGGGATTTAAACCCAGACATGGCAGCCATGTGAGAGAGCCATGTGCTTTTGGCAGAATGAGGACCCCCTCTTGGCTCTGGTGGAAGAAAGAACCATGCAGTTTTGGCCAGAGTGCAGACCCCTGCAGCTTTGGTAGAAGAGGCCCACATGGCTTTGGGGTGCTCCCTTTGGCCATGTGGCCTGGGAAGCAGGAAAGACTTTGCCTGGAAAAATGGGTACAAGAACTCTTGCCAGCAGACCATGAGAAGGTGCCACATGACTTTGGATTAATTAGAGATCCTGCCTGGGCAGTGACACAGCAGACAGTGGCAGAAGCCTGGCTCCCAGACTTTTGCTTCTTTTCCTGAGTTAGGTACCCTGAATTAGGGCAGGGGGAGAAGGGAGGGTGGTGTGCATAAGTGGATATCCTAAAGGACTTTGATATTTTAATGAAGACGTTAGGTTACTACTTTAAGTCTGTATAACATTAAACATTTCCTTTCCTTTTCACAAATATTTGGCATTGAGAGATGTCTTTCCGATTGGTGGCAGACAATCGAGCCCAGTAGGTGGTCCAGATGGTATGAGTATACCATCCTTCAGAGTCTGGGCCCCTGTGTGTCTGTTCTGTACCACAATGACACCAAATGTAGCAAGTTTTTGCCTTGTACTACTCAGTTAGGTGTAAGCTAGCACAGTCTGGGTGGTTGGAGCCAACTAACTTGGGTTTATCATACAGATTAGTCCAGAGGAAAAAAGCATTTGTTTTTCTCTATGGGAAATGGCAAATTTATTAAAAAGCTTCCTGTTGAAAAACAAGATGCCCAATGACACCAAGACTGTTGAGGACTCCAGTGATGAGCCAGAAAAAGAGACACAAACACAATACACCAACACACAGAGATACTGCAAAGAAAGTCTTTTGGCACCTTAGCGTTGGCATTTTAACAGTTATACTCTTCTTTCACCAACCAAATGCCAGGTACGTGAGTACGTAATTTTGGTGATAAATTGGTGCTGCCACATAGAGAATTACAAAATTTCTTTTTTCTGCATCCTCAGCTGCCAGGGGCACTGAGGTTTCTAAAGTACTCCCCCAGTAGGGTTTGTTCTCTTCTTGATTTTAGGCAGATTCTATTATAATTACATTTTTAGGAAGTAGCAGGGTAGAACCATCTTTCTGATGTTTTCACCACTTTGCTTTTCTTTTCAGTGAGGCTAAATAAAAAAGGCTAAGAAAACCTTGTCCAGCTTTCTTCGCTTTTAAGCCCTTGCATAGTAGACAATCTCAGCAGTTAATCTCCTTTGGTAATGCAAGCAACAACTCACTAAAGTGGTCAAAAGACTTCCTTTGATAATTAGATAGAATGGAATCACCGGGTTTGCAGAAAAACCTCCCAGTGTCTCCATTACTACAGAACACACATTTTCAGACTTAGCAAAAACATGCCCATCACTTTTTTATTTCATCTTTTCTTTGGTCCATGCCTGGTCCACAAGAATAGCAAAATGTTTTTGTTCATGGCATTTCTCTTTCTGAGTTTCTCCCCAGCCCCCCAGACCAATGGGAACATCAAACAGGATGGATATAATGAAGAAAAAATTTTCAGTGAATCCTTACTCTGACATTCTCCAAAATTCGTGGAATTGATTTCTCTCTCTCTTTCACCCTTGCTCAATCCCGATGCTGGCGAAGGTGACATAGCTGGAATATTAATTTCACAATTTTGCAAAGCTTAATGCATGTGCTTTCTCTTAGTTCATGTTAATTTCGTTTTGATTGATAAGGAACGTGCAGTTAAGCTTTCACAGTAAAGGTCATGGCTGCTGTGAAGTTTAAAAGACTACAGTTTGATTCTGCTTTATTTTTTATCCCATGGTGCGTTTCTTGTCAAAAAGCTAGAATTTACAATTGTAGTGTTGAAAATTTCATTGAACTCCCATTACCATCTAAGATTCTTCATATTTAATTAAGCCCCAAAGTATACATTCTTGTATGACCTTGTTTTAAACATGTCATGAACTTTAGAGTTGTCTAAACACTTATTTCCTTTAAAAAAATTTAAGTATACTTTTTTAACTGCCACACTGTGGCACTTATTTATTCCTGATGGAATTCATTCCTGTGCTAATACCTGTTCAGGTGAATTCTACGCGGTTCAACCAGGATGGTGTTTTATTTGGAGGCACAAATCATCAGATCTGGCCAAGGTTAAACATGCACAGATAAGAACTGTCATAATAGCTCTTAAAATCTAGACGTGCACACAAGCTCCTTAAACTCACTCTGAGGATGAAGCCAGCCCACCAGTCCCAAATTTGTAAGCAGTGCAGCTTTACCCTGGTTAATATGAAAGCTTGGATATTTCTTCCCAAACTAGTTTGTAAACAGGCAAAATTTCAACTGGAAGTTTTAGATTTTCTTTCAGAGTAAACACTAGTGGACGCTAGCTGGTCCTGAACATTAACTAGTAAGATTACGTCAATGTCATTTTTCCAAACATGCGTACAGTAGGTATGTTACCTGGAGAAAACACAAAACCAGCGATGAGGCTTTTAAAGGACTTCCATACTTGCCTTTGTTTTTAATTAAACACCTAAGCCCTCCAGAGGGGTTTACTAACACATCTGTAATTCCAGACTGACTCATGGGATTCAGCTGTCTTAACAGATGGCTGAATCAAGAACAAGGTATTTTGTGCAGTAGTTAGACCATGTGAAAGAATTGGATCAGGCTGTAATAATCTTCACATCGCCCTTCCCAATAAAATGAAATACAAGGAAAATATATTTCCCTTGTGTTAAATATAAATAAAAGGGGGCATAAATTAAGGGCACACTTAAGGTACTGTGGCTGACTTCAATTTTCTGGGAGTACTTTGCTTATTGTAATGTCTTGGGGGGAGGGGCAGCAAATCACATCTTAGGCTATACATTTTTTTTTCCTTTAAAAAACAAGATAAACAACTAAGGGAATGTCATAAACGTGTTGGGGATGAAGCAAAATACTAAATAAAAGGCAAGATTGATGTAGGTTCAATCACAGGTACTGTGAAAAGTAGAAAATCTGTGACAGATTCAGAATAATTACCATTGGGGAGGGGAGTCTATCATTATTCTCATTTAGCAGCTAGGAAGAAATCCAAGGGACTCTTAACATCAGTTGCGTATCTACAATCACTCCATTACCGAGCCTCCAATCACCAAAAAGAAACAGATTCTCATTTGTGCTGCTGGATCCTTCAGATGGTAAAGAAAGGGAAGCCGCAGAACCGGCCCCACCCCAAACATTTCGGTTTGCCTGCCAATTCTGATGCTTGTGGTGGCTGGCTGTGCAAGGTTCTTATTGTTTGGGAAGTGGGGTGAAAACATTTTTTTTTAAAGTGGATTAAATACTAATTCTGAAGAAAGTTTCCTTCTACCAGGATAAAAATGGCATTTGAGCTGCAGTTTCCTGTTAACTGGATGTCTTAGCATCACCTGCCAATTGTGATGTTCCTGCCAGCACTTCAGAATACAATTTATTTTAACATGAAAAGAATCCTACATGGGGAACTCAGTCCTAAATGTGTGCTGTACTGAGAAAGGCAGAGGCTCAGTCCATAAAGCAGTATCTCAACACCAACAGAAGCTGGGCCACTGATTGGAGAAGCCACATGGTTAAAGAGAAATGTGAAGAGAATTCTAAAACATGCTCTTTGGAAAAGAATTCTTCAGTGAACTCCCTACAGTTTGTGAGAAGACACAGTGAGAACAGACTCCAGGTCCATAACTCAGTAACTACTGCTAATGAGAGACGTTCTAAAAGGGACCGTCTGATCTCACCTTTAACAGGAAGCTAAACAACAAAACAAACAACCCAGCAGAATAAAAACAAAGACACTGAAATAGAGAACAAGGGGACAGTGACCAGAGGGGAGAAGGAAGGGAAGTTAAGGGGAAAAAAGGGGAGGGATTTGGAGGAACAAATAGGAAGGACACAGGGATGAGATCTAAGGGGGGTGGAAATGGGAGGGAGGTGGGGAGCACGGGGCTGGGGGGGGCTGGGTTGGGAGAAATAGGCAAAAAACTGTACTTGAAAAATAACTAAATAAAATTAAAAAAATAAAAATAAAACCAAAACAAAGAAAAAAAACAAAAGGGACCGTCAGGGTTACTTTGGGGGTCTTTCCGGTCCAGGAATGAAACAAATCCCTTCTCAAATTATGTAGCTTTTGTTGGCACAGAGAACCCTTAGCCAAAACAGCCTATTTAATCCCACACATTGTTAGGAGAAAAGGGCAATATTTCCCTGAGGGGGAAATGACGGCAGGACCCCTGAGTGACTTCTAAAATTTGATAATCAGCTAGCCTCCGACTTGACTCATGCCACATAACTGCTGAAATGCACCCAGTAGTGTGGCCAACTTTCCTTCTCATACAGGGATGCTGGCTTTGCTCCCATTTTGAGTTTTGTCTGGGTCACAGAGGAGTTGCTCCAGCCAGCCAAGGAAAGGCTCCCTAGCCCTGTCTGAGGGGGTGTCCCGGAGCTGGGCACCTCCCTCTGCCCCACCTCCTCTGCGCCTCACTCTCCAGGGGGCTCTGCCTGAGAGGTAGCACACCTGTGCAGAGGGGGATAGGGCACAGAGGGTAGGCTAAACAATTCTCTTTTCCCTTCCCTTTTAATCAGACCCTTTACTAAATGCCTCCTCCATCTTTAAACATTCTCTCCTACTCTAGTCCAACAAGAGAAAATGAAGCACATGACCTCCATAGAAGCTTCATACTGACTGATCATCCTCAGGAGGAAGGTCAGCAATAGCAACAGCCAAAAAAGGACCTGTTTGTATGCCCCCAAATGAAAGCATTCTAGGGACTTTCATCAGTGATAAATTAATGAATATTTCTTAGGGCGAATAGTCTTTGGAAATCACTTCATAATAAAGTTAATATTGGCCCTGGCTGGTGTAACTCAGTGGATTGAGCACAGGCTTGCGAACCAGAGGATTGCGGTTCAATTCCCAGTCAGGGCACATGTCTGGGTTGCAGGCCAGTTCCCTGCAGGCCAGTTCCCAGCAGGGGATGCATGAAAGGCAACCACACATTGATGTTTCTCTCCCTCTCTCCTTCTCCTCTAAAGATAAATAAATAAATAAATTAATTAATTAAAAAGATAAAGTTAATATTTTGTTTATAAGAATCAAAAAGTTATGATGCAGGCCATCACTAGCTCACATTTATTGAAAAGGTAAAGCCAGAGGAACATATTTAAAACCACAGGATAAATAATTAAAGTACAAACCACTCTAATTTCTTTTCTTTCTAAGGGGAATGTTTAAAAAGACTGATAATATTGGTTAAAAAAAATACCAGTATTCTTAAAAACTAAGAAACTGCTAAGAAAGAACTTAATTTCTTCTCATTACTCCTGCAATTGGAACCAATCATATTTATGTTCTATTGTACATTGGAGCTGTTTCACAAGAGCATGCTACAATCTCCACGCAGGAGAGAATTAATGAGACAGCAGCTCTTATCTGCTACTTCTTTAAACTGAAAAAAAAACCAACAAAACCCAGAAATCCATTATTATCCAGGCCCTTTATTTGACGGCCATCCATATCTACCCCTCCCCAAACTGAGGACATAATGGAGCCCCCACGACTATCCAGCAGATTCTTTCACTGCTGAGTAGCTTTCACCTCTCACCTTGGTTCACCTCCATCCAGTCTACACACTGAAAATCTATTTTTAACAAGCCTCCAGAGAAAGTTGAAGCCCTGGAGTGGGGTCTCGGAAAGGCAGCAGCCAGGGTGCTACTCACGTCGGCTTTCATACATGCTCCTGGACTGGGCCCAGATTTTGAAAGGATCTGGTTTTTTCTGCCCAGTGCTGTCGGTCTGATCTGGAGCCGGAGCCTCTGCAGGTGGGTACTCAGGGAGCACCTGTGTGCTGTGGCTGGGGGATGCCGTGTGCAGGCTTCGGTGGCTGGAAACACTGTGTTGGGAACTGTTCTGGCTGTCTTTTCTTTCCAGAGGTTGCTGAAAGTGAGTGAGTGAGAAGGGCAAGAGAAGATTATTGTTGGCCCTCTGAGTGTTTTCCATCAATTTGTCTTTGTTCAGCATTTCTGCACACACATACACACACATACCAACAACATTCTGGCTTCCACCTTCCTCCAGCTAATGCTGAATGCAGATAAAACCCCAAGTCATTGGCTAACAGAGAGGGGTGGGCCAGATGCAAAGACATAATCACAAACCGTACTGCCCTCTGGGCTGTGGCAGAAAACAAATCCAATTTTCATCAAAGGTTCTTGGCTAAGACACTGGGCTAATTTATGATGAGATGTGTCAGTCTTAACATCCTCATTTTTTCACAAAATTTGTGACACAAAATACCACTAGTAGTTAAATGTAAGGCCATGATATTTAAAGGAAATACAATCAGTGCTAAAAACAGTTTGGGATTCCATGTCTTTTATTATTCTTTCAGTGATGAAATACCCTTCTGTTATCTAAGGGTTTGTCACCAGTTTTTCTATAAGAAAAGGAGATTAGATCTTTTAAAAATCACTATGTGTGCACTTGAACTTATAAGTACATAGATAACTATTATATGAAGAGCTTTCATAACTCTTAGGTGATCAATTTTGCAGGCATTGCTTCATGTCTTTATCTCCTGATACTACTGTTGGTACTTTATATACCGGTTGACCTCAGGGGGTCAGCCTTCTTAGATCTGCACTCTGTCCAGAGAGAACAAAGTATTCTAAGGAAAAGAATATCATTTACATTTCAACAAAATTAGCAGTTCCTAGTTCCTTAAAACATGCCCAGCAAATGACCCTTCCCATTTTATGAAATGTTCTTTATTTGAATGGGGAGCAAAAACTAAGGGGAGGATATGAAATAGTTTCAGTTCTTATTTTCTCCAGTAAAAGATTTGTAAGCCCAGTTGTTTGGTTTCCCCCATCCAGAATTAAACCCTGAGATCTTGTCCCTCACATGATGGATACTAGGTCCCGACACTTATCTGCTGAAGAGCATCCAGAAGGGACAGAGGACAGGAAAGGGAATCTCTGTCCTCTCTTATGGCTCTTGTACAGCTTATGATTTTGAACTACTCTGTAAGATCTTTGGCCCAGAGCATTCTGGGTCTCTATAGTTATTTGCAGAATCAAAATCTTCTCCTTGGTTTTCAATGAATCTTATCAACAGTTCTTTGCTTTCTCCCTGGGTAGCCTCCATTTTTCATTTCCCATATTGACAGAAATTTCCAAGGTCCCTTTCATTTAAAACTCAGGTCTCTCTGTCCCTCTCCACCCAGTCCTTAATTTAAAAGAAGTATCTGAAGAAAGCCCAGGGAGGACAAAGCTTCATTTGCCCTTGACAATTACAGCTTACAATCTGAAATCAGGTTTTGGCAAGGTTTCAAAGCTGAGGAAAACCGGGCATGCATTTAATAAAGGTAAGATAGACAACTGAAAATGTTCTTCTCTGTGCCTGTGGCAGACATTGAGGACCGTATTCTACACTAGCAGAGAGGTCTTGGTAGGCTGTGTGAGGGGTTTGCCTCGGGGACACACGGGGGATGTTGGGAAAAGCACGGCTTGGGTGCTGACCAACACCATCAGAAACCCAGGAATCATCCTTCTCTTTGAGGATAAACTACTCATCTCCAACCTGGGTGGATCAGCATTCCAAAGACTTGGAATAGAATCTGGTTCTGCCAACTCCCAACAGCACCCTCCCCAACAGCACATTCGGCTCTTCAGGCCAGCTGTCTGATTTCTGCCCCCGGCAAGGCAATTCCTGCCTCCCTGCTTCCCTTGGAGGGCATGCTGAAGACTTTCAGTCAGAAAACATCAATGGCAGACAGAATCTCCATTCTCTTTTGCAAGTACACAGGAATTATTTTTCTCTTCATTGTGATCTTTACCAGGGTGGTCTTTAAAACCCAGCAGGAGCAGCACCAGCCCAGTTTGGGTGTGAACGCACATTAACATAAACCAAAAGACTTGGAATTCCAGGTGTGCTCTTCATACTTTCATGTACTGCCTACTTTTAATTAGAATGCGGAGAATGCTTTTTATCACTGACAGAAAATTTAAAGCCATTTTCATTTTGAAATTAACCTCGGTAACAAAAACTATTGGGGATTATTACTTCTATTTTTACATTTTGGTGGTACTTTGTTCGCCTCTGGGGTTAGGAAGGAGATTTTAAATGTAAAAGCACATAATTCAATAAAAGACCTCCCAGTTTATTCTGGGAGTTGCTTACCTTCCTTCAAATGCCCACCCTCTCTTGGTCCCTCCAATAAGGAGTAAATGCCACACTGTGGGGTCCGTCCCCCTGACACTACCTTCGGTTTGCCCTTAAGTCTCTCTGACCTTTGAAGCTCTGGTCTCCTTCAGGTTCACCCTACTCTTTACAAAGTCTCCTGGGGACCCCAGGGGAGCTGCACTGCAGGCTTACCTGAGGGGCACATCGCACTTCTTCCTTCTGGGGGTTACTCTGTAGTCCCTGGAACCTCAACTGTAACCTCTTCCATTTGTTCCCTCTTCCTGAACTCGAGAAGAATTTTCCTGGTGACCCTGCCCCACCAGAGGGAGTCTGATAAAGACTGGGCCTTCTTCCTGCTGAGAACGCACAGGAGCTTCTCCACGCACACTCACAATGCACGCAGAGTCTGCACATCTCCTCGTGGGCCCTCAGACCCCTCATCAGCTGGCCTAGTGTAACTAATCTCTGGCATGGAGGACGGGACCTCCTTAAATTAAATGAAGATGTAGCTTTGCTATAAACAGAGGTGCAAATGAAGTCTAGTGGACAGTCAAAGTAGAAGTTTGAAACTTGTTTAAAAGTTTAATGCCCCTTCTTACCTCCCCAGTAAATGAGTCATATAGGTCTAATTTAACACAAAATGACAGATACCTTTGGGAACAAGTATGTAAAACTGCCTCACAATCAAGTTGCACTTCTTCAACCCTTTTAAATGCCATCTAAACTTGGTTCTTAAATTTGGAAAAGGAAAAGTAGAGTGGCATCTTGAGAACGTGCCCTAAAAACCGCCGTGCTGCACTGGGCTTTCGTGAACTGGCACATTTGTATCCACGTGGAAGGCTAAATGCATATAATGGTCTGGATGCTTGTGGGATCTTCCCCCAGGTAAGACTGACCTCACTTTGTTTCCTCTCAAGTTCAATTACAAAAAGTACTTAATTTGAAGATGCATTCTGTATTTAATATTTAGCTGGCACTCTGGGCTTTCTGAAGTTTTATGTTCTCTATACACACAAAAGTTTAAAAGTATGCCTTTTTATTTTCTGTGAGCATGATAATTAGCTTTGGCGGTGTCTTTTTCAGGTCAGAGCCCAGAACTGTCCAGGAGAAAAGCCAGCCGTGTCTGTTTATCTCTCCAATCACAGGCAACCGGCGTGCCCTTCAGCAGGCTGCATCACGTCCAGGAAGACCTGGGGCATGAGAACACGCTCACTGCTGAATTAGTTATGAGATCAGGATCAGATCTGCATCTAATGTGATTGGCTTTCACCTCATTTTCTAGGTGAAAAACTGGCCTGAAGACAAATACCTGTAGACAAAGATAAACTCTCAAGCCTGTTGCAGTAATGAATGCAAACTAAGAACCAGGGTGGATGGAGCACCCGGTCCAACACTGACAGGACACCCAGCCTGGGTCCTCCTCCTGAGTAACTAACTAGCTGCAATAGATTTCTTCCCTCCTCCAACAAGTACAGATACACCACCTACTGCGAGTCAGATTCTAAGGGAAGCAGTGTGTAAGTAAGAAAGAGATGGTAGCCGAGCTGTTAGAATATGAACCTCTGTGTATATGTAGGGTTGTATGTGTTTGTATGTATAGGTGAATATTAATCAAATAATTGTAACAGACTGATAACAACATAATGCAGTGCCCTTTAGCTAGGTAACGAGAGGCCTCTGAAAGAACATTCCATCAGTGGAAGCAGCGTGTGCTAAGTCTTCAAAGCAAAATGAGTTTGGAGTGTTTGAGAACAGAGAGAAGGCTAGCATGGCACAGGAAGGGTCCGGGGCCGTCTTAGATGAACTTGGAGACTAAACAGTGAAAGGGCCTTGTGGGTTACTTTAAGGACACTGAGTTTCATTCTCAGTTCAGGGGAGGAGGAACTGTATTAATAACAGGAAAGCAGGTATGCGCCAGGAGCCACCTCGCATCCAGAAACTTTGGTTTGGCTGCTGGGTGGTGTCAAGGTTGGTGGCGATGGGAGTGGAAGCAGAGAGCAGTCAGGAAACTACTGTGTGTCCGGGGAGGAGCCCAGCGAGGTCTATACGATGGGAGTGGTAGTGACAAACTAGAGGGACAAGTGAAGTTAAAAGAAATTTGCTGCCAGAGTCAATAGGGACTGCTCACAGACTGAACACGGGACGGGGCAGGAGGGGAAAGGCGAGAGCTCACAAACATGGGCGTTCACTTCCCAGGTCCCGGCTTCAGTAACTGGTTGGAAAGGGTTGCCATGTGTTGAGGCGAGTATTTCCAATGCTCTGTTGTCACTGGACTGATGTTTTTGAATCAAGAGTTTAATTTCTGAATATAAAATCAGAACCAACTAGAAAAAAAATGGGCTTATTTTTGAAAACTCCATACAAGTCCTTGGCCACATACTAGCCATAAGACTTTTAAAACTAAAATTGTATCCATCTCCCTATAATGAATGATTTCCTTACTACTGACAGGCCAGGGAGATTGGGAAGATGCAATGGTTTTTATAAACGGAAATGGGGAAAACATCAGCTCATCAGTATTTCACAGAATCATTTCAAAATGAAGGTACTTGTAAAGTACGCTGAAAATATTCGCTTGGAAGAGCAAATGAATATGGACAGCACTTAGGAGCTTTAATGATGAAAAGAATTCGTGTAGCTTAAAAATGACAAATCGATACATTTTAAAACAAAATTATTTGCAGTTCACTTATCTGCCAAGATTGAAGGCCACTGCAGCAATTTACATGGACAACAGGAAAAACTCCAAGTGCTGATGAGATATTAGGCCAATGTCATTAAAGGTTGTACAGAAATCAGAGATTCAAATACAAGGCAAAGCAGCTAGCTGATGGTCCTTGTTTTTGACTCCGTCTTTTACTATTTATAGGCCTAAGTCAAACAACTTCTTCCAAAAAGGCAGGCAAGAGGAGTTAATGGAGAAGAAAAGGGAGGTATTGACTGGATAGGAAAATGAATTTTAGTTCACACTGAATGTAAAGCATCTAACACAACTGCAAAGTCTATTTTCTAGGGCTGCAAAGGGTGGAGGGTATGAGTTGCTGTGGGAGGTGAGAGACAAGGAGGCTTATTTAAGTCCTTCTCCCGTCTACTCCTCACATTGCAGCCTGCAGGAACTTTTGATGGTGTGTACTACTGCTCTGGCTGAAGGACAAGTGGCATCAGAGTCCTGCTGACAACCAGGAGAGTTTCAGGAAGAGGCAGGACACATAAAACTGGACGAGCCAGTCTGGGCTCCTTCACGGTGCACAGTATCTTAGAGAGCTCTCCCTGACATCTCTCAGTGACTAGTTGCCAGTGAAGTCCTTAGCATCCTTCCCAGGGGAAAGGAACAGAAGACAATGGAACAGAAGCCTGTCACGACAGCTAGCTTTCAACTTGCTGCGTTTGCAAGAGGTTGTTGGAGAGACTGCCTTAACTCCAACTCAGTGACCCCCTTGTGAAAACTCTGCATGCGAAGTTTTTTAGTCACTGAGAACATTGTATCTCCTTAGTGAACATGGTATGCTTTCTTTGATCTGACACAGTAAATAATGTGGTTTCCTACATTGCTCAGGCTGCTAGTAAACTTGAAAGAACTTCACAGCTCAACTACAGCACCTAACTCAATTTTGGGTCTTTTCTATGGCTTTATATGAGTATTGAACTTAGGTAATTGCAATTTAGAGCTGAATGACTTTCATTAACTGTGTACTTGGTTCTGCTTTGTCAACTTGTGAAAGTATATGCTCATCAGACTTTAAGCCCCGTGAGGAGGATCTCTGTCGATCTGACTGTTTTGTGTGGCTGTTGGTCTCTCCTTGCCGGCAGGAGGGCAGGACTGTCTTCTGTTTTAGTTCTTGATGCACACTGGCACCGGTCTGACAGAGAAGGTATTTGGTTAATGCTTATTGTGGGAACAGAACCATTACAACATTTTGGTGATTTGTGACAATGAATCTATTTTTTGAAAGTAACAATCAATAAATTTTGTGTTTGTAAGCTCCAAAAACAAAGGTACCATGAGATCTTATTTATTATAGCATTCTCGGTGCTGCACACAAAACCTGACACTTAGTAGGTTCTTCATTTACTTGCTAAGTAAATGAATGAATATTTGAATGAATGAATAAAAGGTAAATGTACTGGTAGATAAATGGATAGATGGCAGTTGGACAGATGGACAAGTGGACAGATGAAGGAAGGGACAAACAGAAGCACAAGTGAGAAATGAACAAGTGAGAAAACATCCATGGATATTAACTTAAAATCCAGAGGTTTCTATGATACGCAGGGTTTTAAATTCTTGTGTGTGATCTAGACCAACACTCTCTCACCCGAGTTTCCAGTCAGGGAGATTACGCTGGGCCACAGAATCGGTTTCCTAGTAAGATCTGAAACCTGACAGCAAATGTGTCTTATTCTTGTCCCTGCCATTTGGCAGGAAAATCTTTGGTGTTATGGGTGTCCAAGTATTAAATTAATGAAATTTCATTAAGACAATGCTATTGTTCCCAGTGAGTATATAAACCATAGAGTCAAAATTAAACTACATCTAGTAGGTGAAGTTGCTTATTAAGAGTAAACTATCAAGGCCATCCAAGAGGGGAACCCAGATCAAAAAGATAAATCCCTCTGTTCTAATAAAAACCCAACTACCTAATTATTAAAAGTACTGTTTTTTTTTAAGGCATGAGGGCAAAAAGAAGCTGTTGGTCACATGAGCAAGCCAACAGTGTCAGGAGCCTCTAAGAAAAGAGAAAAACACATGTTGCTGGGTAAGACAGTATATTCACAGAACTGATGGTAAATCTAAGCCCATCGCAGCCCAGGCATTTTACTACGCAGCCTGCAAACCTGGCCTGCCTGTCATTACGTGAATGGCTGTCCAGGAACAAGACGTGCAGCAACCCTGTGGATTCCCTCAGCCCCCAGTGGAAAAACCCCACACTCGTCTGTCTCTCTGGCAGGAAGTCACCGACACTCAGACCGGCAAAGGGAAGCAGCATTCTGCCCACCTGTACAGTGCTCCAACTGATCACAGATGTCAGCCATACTCTACTGGCAGCAGCAGACCTTGGCTGCAATACCCCAAATTTTGTCCAGCAGGTGCCGGAGTGTGCCAGCAGTGCTGTGAAAACCATCATCCCTGTCCTGGCACAGATATCGGGTAAGGACAAGCCCCAAGCTGGGGCTCATTCTTCTCTAACCCAGCAACACTCCAGCCTCTTGGCTTGAGGTAATTAAGAGCCGGCAGACTGTGGGCAAAGCAGTTGAGAGAGCTTTTTTTCCTAGGAATGCAGTCTGAGTAATTGGCTTGCTCTTGCTAATGACATGGCTTCTACAAAAATAAACTGTCACAGGGAATTCTTTCAGCTGACTCTGAACGCAGGCTCTATACCTGTCTGTGACCTTTGAGCACAGCAAGGAATTCCAAAACACTTTGGGGAAGAAGAGTTGCAAATGAATCTACAAAAATCCTAGTGCACAGTAAGTTTGAATGGGATGCAGAACAAAAAGCACACCATGCCACCTGATGTCTTGTTGCCTGTGCAAAACTGCTGAATCTCCCCCAGTATGCTCCTGGCCAAGACTCTGTTCCATGTGGGTGTGTAAAATAAGTCTATGTAGCATGGCTGAGGGTGGGGGGAAAAGGGGTGGCTCCTGCTAACCCAAGCTCATGTGATACATCCTCCAGATTTCTTCTCTTTTCTGCAGGCTGATCAGGTTCCTGGCTATGACCCAGGGATGGGAAGACCCATGTGCATGTGTATACACACACACACACAGAGACAGGCTCTGGCATCTTGGTCAGTACCTACCAGCACTTTTCTGCCTGGACATTAACACAAACTGACAAGGGAAGCAGCCTTGAAGTCACGTGTCCCAATCACCATGACACTAAGCCATTGCAATCACATCAATTATTGCAGTTTTTCTCTTAGGACAACTTGGGAGCAGGGCTTCAGAATGCAGAAAGCTCCCTCTCTCATCTCCTTAATAAACTTCTGCCTCCTGCTGCCAGGCTTGGAGGCAGGTGAAGAGAATTCAGCTGCAGTGCCATGAGCCACAAAGTTTTAAGGTTCTCCTTTCCTGGTGACAGGAAGCTGTAAAATTTCCCTCCCCCAAATATTCTAAGCCACATGGAAGTGGCTGCTCTTTATCTGAATGCCAATGAATTGGGAACCCTCCTCCACCCGGATCAATTTCACAGGCATTGGGGTCCCCGATTTTGAGTTTGTAAGTAGCATTTTAATTTGTTGTCAGTGCCCTGGGAGAAGCTCACACCACCAATCAAAACACTACAGCCTCTACCAAGCTATTAGCTACCATGTCAACTAGGTAATGCATCTTCAGGGAAACCAGATTAGAAAGGACAGCAAACATTGATTTTTTTTAAAGAACCCTATACCTGCAGCATAATGCTGCTAAAGCGAGCAAAACAACAAAGGACTTCCACAGCAAGGAAATGTCTTATTCTCAGTGCTGGGGCAGTGAACATTGTTCCATGTGAGCATGGACACACATATAGGGCAGAACAGTTCCTCCTTAAACCTACAGGTTTTTTAATTTTGTAAATCATTAGTCATCCAGTGCATAGGAAAGCTCAGGGGGAGCGTCTACCTATGTGAACGACTGGAAACACCAGTTGAGAGCAAGGCTACCCGGGAAGCAGATGGAGCTTTTCTTCCCTTCTCCTCCCAAAAGAAACAATAGCATTTCTCTCAAGTTAAAACATCTGAGAAACTCATCCATTTGAAAGGGAGTTGTAATGCATTTACATAGAGAAGATTCCAATCCTGCATTCTTTATCCCGGCTGCCACAACCTTCCCACAATCACTGGACAGTTAAAGACGAACCCAAATACCTTCTATACTAAACAGATCCCCAGAACTTAATCTACGGAGCCAGGCTCCTGTCTATCTATCCGTTCTGAAACACACACATTCAGTGGAGTCCCCTCCCACCACCAACAGCCCCCCACTCCCCAAATAAGCACCTGGCAAGTCCTTACCGACTTAGGGCTCTTCTTAGGAACTGGCAGTCCTGGAAAAAAATGCAACAAGGAGGGGTGGGGTAGGGGGGAGAATCATTAGCATATAAATGTTACCTTTTCGGGAAAGAACAACCCCCAGGTGTTTCAGGGCAACCTGGCCATCTGCAGAGTTATGTCAGATTCCTCCCCAGCACTGGAGTTACCAGGCTGTTCATATCGAATCAAAGCAGGGGAGGAGGAGACGGGAGGCAGGAGATCTATCTGCATTAGCTATGCTGACTTGTACTGCAGCAGCCTGGAGGCTGGGAAAAGGAATTCACAGACCTCGGCGGCCTGGGAAATTGAACACTTGGACAGAATCTCAAATGCTCTTCTGGATTAAGAGAGACTTAACTTACAATTAAGTCCAGGATATTTCCTTTCCACCGATCCACTTGTCGATTGAAGTGGACCAATAAGAACAGAGGAGGGGGTGTGTATTTAATTTCAGTGGAGTACATGGTTAAAATTTATTTATTTCCTTTTTTTTGGAGGGGGGGGTCTTTCTTTTTTTCTCTGTCAGCAGAGGAAATGCCATCTTTATTTGGATGAGGAGAACACCAAAACAAAGACAATGCTCTTTTGCCAGCACAGAACATACATGTGAACTGGTCTAAGACCCCCATCTGGGTCACGGATGTGCCTCTCCGTGTGCAGCAGTCATCCAAGCAAACTCCTATTCAGCCTGCTGGAAAGAACCCAGCTAGGACCACCCCCTCCCAGGGACTGCAGGTCGTTGGGGAGTAAAAAAGAGAAATTTTATAGAGCTGAGACAGAAAAGATAATAGTGGAGATAGAGGAAGGCAGAGGGAACAAAGACGGTCACGGAACCTGGCTGGCTCTTCCAAAACACTGTCCTTAGTGAAAGTAAGACAGCTGGAAGGGACCTTGGAGCTCCTCACTTCTAGGCAAGTCTGGAGGGATGGGGCAGATAAGGGAAGCATGCCCCCAGGGGGTAGCAAAGGAGGTGTAGAAAGGATAATTGAAGCATCCAACGGCATTTCAAAGGTAAACATTTCCGCAAGCTACCCTCTCGTTTTCTTTGTTTTTTCTTTTTTTTTCTTTTCTGGTTTGAGCGAGGATTAGAATGCAAAATGCAGATTCCATCTGTATTAGACACCAAAGATACCCTTGGGATCTGATGATTTTGCACTGGAAATTTCAACCTTTTGAAGAAAAATGATCCCCATGTAGTGTGAGGATGCCTATTCTTTGTGAAGTGACTTGACGAAGCAGGAGCCAATCTTAAGTTCAGTGCAAGTAGCACAAAGCCCCAGAAGTGGGTGAGGAAGGAAGAAGCCGTACAAGGAGCAAGGGGAATGCGTCCACTGCGGTTTAGGCCTGAGCGGGGTCATGGGTCCTGAAAGGCATGAGGGCACTCTTTTGGCAGGGCTTTATCACATCACCCAAATGAGGTGACCAAAGACTGGCTGAGTGGCTCTCAGACGTCGGAGGGCTTAAGATGCACCTGGTAGCGTGTTAGAAACGCAGGATCCCTGGGCCTCACCTGGCAGGGGCCAGGAATCTGCATATGAACATATATTCCAGGGGGGATGTGAGGACCTTAGATGTGAGGACCACATCTAAGGAAACTACAGTAGGGTATAGAGAGTATGACTCTTTTGCGTCAAGTAGACTCAAGAGGCAACTTTCAGCGAACTGCTTTAGAGCCCTCTAAGCTTCAGTGTCTCAGTTTATGAAAGGGAGATAGTAACCCTCGCCAAGATTGTTATGGTAAATAAATGGACAGAATTTTTAAAAGCCTCGTACCTGATAAGGGGGAGGCCCTCCATCGTCCTCCCCTTTTCTCTTCCTTTGCGAACTGACACCATTCAGGGAGGAAGTGGCTCTGTTTTTTTTCTACTCTAGCCAAAATCACTTGTCGAGCATGTTAAAATATAAGACATATTGTCGGGGAAATATTTTAGCTATGGAAGAGAATAACTGCGTTGGATAATTTATTCATGCCATTATTCTTAAAAATAATTATTAAGTGTTTTTATTTATTCATGAATATGATATCCTTAATGAATTTTATCAAGTTATATCAGTGTGGTTCATGGTGTTATGTATTTCAAAATTACATAACATTATATCTTAAAGTTCAGACTTTTCCCAATTCAGACTGGCCTTATTAATAATTAAAGGGAACAAGGTTTCACCACTAAACTTGGCTTTTCCCAGAATCCCTATGACTCCCTACAAAAATGTATAGAGTGTGTCCAACTAGGTAAGAGGAGTCAGGGAAAATGGCTTCATCCCACACTTTGCTAGTCATTTATAAGACTATGGTCATCTTAAATGCCCAGCCTCTAAAGATTTTCACACGTGAAATAAAGGGCATTTTTCCTTGTCTATCGCAGACATACACACACGTGTTCAAAGGTGCCTGTGTAAGGATGCTCACTGCAGCACTGCGGGTATAAAGGGAACCTGGAAACCAGTGGAAGTCCTAAATAAACTGTGGTTCAGCCAACCTATAAGGCAGTCCGCAGAGGTTCAAAGACATGAGCCATCTCTGTGGGTAACAACGTGGATGGTTCCTAAACACAAGGCTGAGTGAGAACAGCAGGCTGCAGAGTGGCAGGTGCGGGAGGACACAGGTGCTAACCGCACTCGGACACAGGCGCAGCAGCAGTGACTGTCCTTCCATGACTGTCCACACCAAACTGGTAACCTGGACACTTCTGGTGGCACAAGGGAAGGCAGGGACCCAGAAACTAGTTTAGGCAGAATTTAGCCTTAAATTCGTATTTTTTATCTGAAACACCATATTCACATCTGGCTAAGACAATGAAATATTAATTTAAAAATATCCACTAACTACTTAATGTCCCTTCCACCATTAACTGTCTGAAGCACACTCTGATGGCCCCGGCTCAGTTGACCCAAATTGTATTTTACAACAATGAAAACACAAAGAGGAATTTGTTCCTGTTTACTTACTAGTTATTGAAAACCTACTTTTTACAGGATGTAAACAGGCCACAATTTAGTATTTTAAAAGTAAAAACTCAGGAGACTCCATTTGACTGCTTTAAAACAACAAGAAAGATTTGTTTGGAGTCCATGCATTCATTAGGTTTTAAAATGTAAATAATATAATTAATATGAATGCTGGAACAAAGCTTCTGATACAATTTATAATTTATTTTATCCCAAACTATTCAGATGGATAGAAAACAGCTGGGAGACTAATGGAAAACACTCAAAAAAGGCCACCATTTGGCAGAGTCCTCCAAGGCCTGGAAATCGGAGGATGTGGCTCTTGTCTGGCGGGAGTTAACTGTTGGCCACCACACACTGGCTGGACGACAGCAAGAAGCTCAGTCCCGAACTTCGCAGCACTTAGGTGGTTTTCCTCAGGACAAAGGCACACTTCGTGTTCCCAGGGGGAAGATTTTTGCATAAATCGCATGTTCCACAGGAAGCACATGAGTGGGAACAGCACGTGTCTGAATGGGTTCGTCTGCTCCCTCCAGGAAGAGGAAGAGGGATTTTGAAAGGAAGCAGAAGAAAGAACTCATGGATGACACCGTCTGCTCTGACAGCCTAGAAGGTGGCAAATGCTACTTCAAAGGGACCCCAGAAAACTTTAAAAGGGAAGTGTATGTTCAAAGCATGAACCTAAGTGTGATCTACAGAAGTGAGGAAAGCCCGGGAACTGAATTTTTAAGGTTCCCTACAAGAAGGTGTCCCTTTGGAGAAACAAAAGGCTAACTGTCTGCTAGTGACTGGGATCTGACCAATGAACACAAGGAGGAGAAAACGCCTTCCTTTTAAATATCAAGGCCATAAACTATGCCCCTGAATATGTTCTCATATAATTAAGTAGAAAATGTTATTTTAGTGAAATTCTATAATGGTGAAACACAATTATATAAAAACAGTAAAAATATAACAGAATACATACACATTTGGAAACAAAGACTCAAAGGTTATATACCAAAACAGCATTGTTATTTAACTCATGGGATCCAGGATGGCTTTTTTACTTGTTTTATTTTCTACAACTGGAAAAGCTTTATTCATTTATAAATACACATATACGTATATACAAAGATGCCACAATAAACAAAGCTCTACACCACCTCGTTAAGTAAGTTAAATTTCAGGACATTTTATTGCACTTTAAAATCTGTACAGCCCTCACTGATCTCTACATCCAAGAGTTATTACTTCTATACATACAGAGTTTCAGCACTCTGTTGAAATTAAGACTTGCATCTTCCCTGTTGATTAAATGGAAATAGGAAGAATAAGAATGATGTTGGATAGCCCAGCTGTGCTACCTGGGAACTAGACAGAAGCCAAGCATGACCATGTGAGCACAGAGATGAGCAAAACCTGAGTTGTTTGGAAAGAGATGGGACTTCCTGAACCTTACTTCCTCTTCTAGGTTTAAAGAAAGTGAGACTGTCTACCAAACTCACTAACTAACAGAATCGAGAAAATTCTTCAAAGGTCTTCGAAGGGGTGAATTCTAAAGTCACCATCACATGCAGAATGGATCAATAAATCATAAAAATCTACTTTATCATTTTGGTTCCCTCCTCAGCATTCTAACAAACACTGTGTCTATGTCACTGATCCACGTGTCACTGAACACATGAGATATTTCAGAGTTTTGCATAGCAAATGTTGCATTAAAAACTGTATTGCACCTTAACCAGGTAATGCAATGTGCAAGGAGCAGGGAACTGACATACATACATTTAGAGAAACAGCGTGAAAGAGACAGGTAGTTCGTGGAGACCACCGAAAAGCCACCAAAGGCAGAAGACTGAGAACTTGGTGAGGGGATGGGATTAGGTTACTCCCGAGTGCATTCAGCTCAGACCCCTAGCCTTCTCTCTTATTCTATAATCTATCAAAATATAATCCTAAATGCAGGACAAAAAAAAACACATAGCTAACTTTAACTCAATAAAGTCATCGTTAGGAGTTTTTACTAAGGAAATAATTAAAATGTCTCAAAGATTTACATAAAAAAGATTTGCAAGCCATGGCC